ATAATGTTATGGTAGAAGCAGTAATAGTCTCAATGAGATACGAGATATATAGGTCTATGTAATGGTGTAATCAGCTGGAATCCTTTTAACCTCATTGAAAAAATTCACTCTGATAAAAATGTCGTGTCTCAACTCTTTATGTATGTTTTTGTTATTACATGCTCATCTTTTATATGTTTTATATTCCACAAGCTTTCAGGTATGTGAAAACTAATACACTATTTTTTGCATGTAATACAGTAAACAGAACGTACCAGTATCTGGATATCCTGCTGTATTGCCTCAGCGCTGGTGTACATGGTTTGTTGGGGGGTCCATTGTAACAGTGGCGTCCCCAGTGATAGCCCCGAGGTAGACACCCCACTGGGATTCTCCAGTACAATATCCTCTGTCCCAGCATTGTCTGGGGGCAGTATATCTGAGGAGAGGTTGTCACAGTTCAGCTGACCCTCCAGAGGGATGTTCTCTACAGAGTCGTTGGGTATTGATACCACCACTACATTCTCCTCTGTCTGGAGGGTTGTATGGGGCAAAGCCTCCTCTTCAACATTTTCAGCCATCTACTATGATCTGGAGCTGTCTACAAAAATTAAATTTTTCATAAAGTTCATGTCTGACAGATGAAACACAGCATATTGAAGATTATTAATACATTGCTATCTGTTTAGAACTGTCACTTCTTACGGTGGTTGACTATGAATCGAGATGTCACTATTTGTTCCTCAGATGAGCCTCACTGTTCACCTGAGCATTTGGAAAAACAGAAATTACTTATTAGATCAGCTAGTATTGAAAAGTTTAAATATATTTGGGATCACCCTATGAGGGATGTCATAATTTGAACAAACCTGTATCTACATTACTTGAGGATGTTTCCATATTGATATGATTAATAGCATTCATGACTTTGCAGTTCATTTATGATGAAAAGAAGATATTAAGACATTTTTTCATTGTTGTGTAACAGGAAAGGAGAAAATGTATGGCTGGACCGTGAATCGAACCCGGGACCCCTGTATCTCTAGTCAGGTGCTCTACCAATCGAGCTATCCAAGCGAATATCCACGGCTCAAACCATTACATTCCTCCCTTCTTAAATGGTCTTCGCCCTCGAAGACACAACCCAAGTTCTTATTGCCCTTGGACTTTCACCTGCAATTCCAGGGGTGGTCCACGGCACCAAATCTGACAGGATAGGAGAAAATGCAGTGGACCAGACCGGAATTCGAACCCGGACCCCCTAAAACTCAGGTCAGGTGCTCTACCGAGCTATCTGGACACCGGCGATCGAATCCGGCTGACCGCCACATTCCTCCCTCCTTATAGGTCTTTGGCCCTCCAAATACCCCAACCCAGGCTCATCCCTGGCAGGTCTTTCACCTGTCCATTCCAGGGCATTGCACAGCACCAAATGTAACGGGAGAAGAGAAAATGCAGCAGACCAGATGGGGATTCGAACTGGGGACCCCTGTGCTCTACCAGCTGAGCTATCCAGGCCGATATCCACGGCCCAAACCATTACAGTTGTGTAATAGTTTGATCTTTGACTGCCTGTATATTGTTTTAGGCCACAGCTGAGTATTTTCACTCATGTAGAGAAGTCACCAGTTAAAAGCTTCAAATTTAGACCAGTGCCATTGTGCAGTGAGGGTTCTTTATCGTGTCAACACTTTTTCTCTGCCCCTAGACTTGCAGGAGAAAGTCCTGCCAGGGGCTATGATATATTTATAAAAATTACTCATATCCTGTTACAAAGGTAGCTGTATATCTGCATGTGTACATTTACTCTATATTTCCGATTATTAAATTCATGTTACAGACTTTTTATTTTAGTTTGTGCAGTGAATAATAATGGTTATAATAATAATGAAATCCACTGTCACAGTTCTTCAAATTCACCATTACAAGTTAGATAACGTTATACAAATACTATACATTTATGAATTATAAATCCCATAACCATGATAATGTAGATTTATAAATTCACATTTAATCAATGTTGATTAATATAGTTTCTTTGTGAATGAGGACATAATTTGCAGTCCTCTGGTAATGTTTATTTACATGACCCGTTCGTTCATCAGACCAACCCTCAAGACATACACGCTAAAGACCCCAACATGTTTTAATCCACCATATTGGATAAAATTTGAAACGAAAAGCTGTTAAATGCAAGATAATGGCTAATCAATAATTAAGTGAAGTATAAATATGCTTGTATTTCTTTATTCAAATTCAAATATAAGAAATTAATTTGATGGACACAGACTTGGATGTTTCATCGGGGAAAACCCAGCGGAAATTACGAATTTTCGAGGTCGCTAAACAGACACATCCATAAAGGTTTCACTAATTACCTATTCTTATGACCAAAGCCATAGTATATTCGAATTTACTTCTCCTTACAAATATATATGCGTTATTTTTACCTCTGTCTTCATATGAACATAAATTCAGAGCATTCTGGCATTGAAACAAAAGACTTTGCTGGAATATAATTATTTCATCAAATCCATGGGCGCGACAGAGGGCGGAAGTTGATATTCTGTAAAATCTAAACTAAAAACGTTGTTTTATCCGGATTTCAAAAGAACGCGCACATGTAACATGTAATTCGTTATTTAAATGCATTTACATCTATATGTAAAATGCACAAAAATTACATCTATAAAAAAATTCAAGAAAATAAAGAATTATTATATGATAAAAAAATTCAATATCACATAGTTTTCTTTTTAGAAAATTTTTAACCCATAGTAAATATCACATAAATATATCAAAATTATTTATGATGGTGTGGATATATATATATAACCATAATATATAAATATTAACACATTTTATATTTATTTCCGATAGCTATATGCCTTTGAAAAAAGTGTAAATTAAATTTTTTTTGTGTATGTTTGTCATCAGTCATTTATGGTGTAAAATTGGTTAAGGAAAATTATATACAAGATATACCATATTTTAATTGTAAACCCGTTTCATTTTTGAAGGAAAGTGTAAATTAAATTTTTTTCTAATGACTATAATTAGTCAATGAACCATTAATATTAAACATACATAGTCTAATAAAATATATACCATATTTTATTTGTAAATCCGTTTGAAATTTATAAAGAAAAATGTCTATATCATTTTGCGATTCCATTACAACTCCCCATTCCCTGAAACAAGGTTTGGTATGAATTTGTCAACAATTCTTCATTAATACCAGTTAATATTACCTGATATATTTATTTCACAGGAGGGGCTGATTTTTTAACTAAAAATTATGTTTAACCAAAATCATACAATTATGCATAATGTGTGTTTGCTTTCCAAAGAAATAACCAATGTAAATATTCTAGCCATTAACTTTTGAAAAATTGACTTGGTGCTAGTTGTTATACCAATACCTTATAAAAATAATAAATGATAATTCTTAAATCACGTAAGTTAAAATTACTTTATTATTTATCTTAGATTAAATGAATAAAAGATAATTTTTAAGTACAAAAATTAAATTCACAATGATATTCAGAAATTATGCAAAAGTAATTGGAGTGGCTGTTTGCAAAATACACAACATTTTTGCAGAAAATAAAAAGAACATTTCAATTGAATAATTGTAGAAGAAATTTGAATGAAATCAGTTCTCAAGTAAAATCTTTGGGTCAAACACATCGAAACAGTCACAAGAATTTTGCATAGGTAACACTTATAACAATGTGAAATACCCCATAAAGAATATTGTAGTCTTTTTGTTATGAAATTAATATACATGTAATAATAAAAAAAAAATTATCAAAGTCAAAATCTAAATATATTTAAGTATATACATCATTATGCTTAATTATTGTAAAGCTTTTTGTTAAAAAAAATTCTCATTTTTGAACAAATATACATTTGCATAGGCTTGCACATTCATCATTCTTTTTAAAGCATTAATTAATTGAATGTATGCCAAAGATATAAACCATTTCTTTGTCTTTAGCAAACAAATGAACAAATAAAAAAAAATGTAAACTGAGCACTATATAAAATATTCATACATATATATTTTTAAATAATTGATAAGAATTCAGAAACATTTTTTTTTCTAAAATAAAACCAATTGAACTAATTAAGTTAACTAAATGGTTTTCAACAAGGATTCAATATCAAGGCTTTGTCATGTTTATAGAGCATTCTTCCTGTTGGTCTGTGAAGATAATGATAGATTTACATATAACCCCTCGTTATATACCATCACTTGACAGATGTTTGGTCCCTGTCTCATCTGTGATGTTAATCATGTTAATCATAGTTCTAGTTGACCTTGGTAAATGTGGAGATCTGACCAGCATTTCTCCATCAACATTTACACACCAGTGTGCAACGTGCTAGAATCACACAGCACTCACATGTTATCAAGAATGCCCAAGTTGTTTTCTTTAAAGTATGTTATAACTGAACTAATTTTTAAATGTTGAATTAAAAAAACATGTTTTTCAATATTCTAAATGTAAAAAATCTCTTACTTACGAAAGAAAAGAGGGCAAGAGTTTTATACATGTAAGAATATGAATCACCAATGGCAGTTTTTGGTTTAAGTTATGTACCTAAAAATCTGTATTCATGTAATCATTCTCCTGTATGTTAAAAAAAAGGTATTAAATCCATCACAACCTTAAAATACTTAAAAAATGTGCTTTTCTGTACATCTTTTCCACACATCACTAGCAGTACTTCATAATTAGCTCAACAATTTATATAAAAAAGTATGATTTTCATAACAGCTATTTACACTTTGTACACAGGCATACAATGTTCAGTACCATTTTCACTGCATCCTTAAAAAGACAGACTTTTTACAGTTATCAGTTTAAAATGTTAAAAAGATTTGGTAATAATATGGGAATAAATAATCTGTTTATGTAGATCAAAATATACATATAAACCTATATTGATACATATTGCTGATAAAGCTTTGAAGTGTAAGAAAAAATTAAAGAATGTATTTCACACATCTGGTGGACAACTACCCCAAAAGCATTAAAATATTAACTAAAATATGACTCTTAAAGCAAGAAAAGTATTTCAACAACTAACTACCATCATTTCATAACACAGAAATATGAAGAAAAAAAATGTAAAAATGTACAAGAATGTCTGAAAAAATAAATTATTTACACATCCAATAAAAACAAATAATACTTTTTGCATATAAAACAACATTTGTGAGGCTCTGCTAAAGCTGACTCTTTTAAGGATGAAGTTGTAGACTCTTGTCACAAGTATTCCACGGAGGTCTTGTCGTATCACAACACTTAAGCAAGTCGCTGTTAATGGAGTCCAAAACAGTCACGCAAAGAGGATCACTTAAAACTCTCCTTGAAAATGTCCTTCCACTGAAAGATCAATAAATGGATATCAGATGAGTTTTTCTCTTTAACTGATTTTATTTGAAATACTTGAAAGTCATATTCAAAACATTCAATCAATCTAAATTTGTATGTACTTTCAAAAACAAATTGAACAGACAAAGAAATGGATTTTCTTCACTTAAGAAACTTAAAGCATCAAGACTTTTCAATAAATATTTAAAAAAAAAAAATGTCTATCAGAGTCTTGTAAATAATTACCACTTCATTGGTAGCAATATCTTTGGGAACCTCATTGACGTTATTCTTAGCATTGGCATCAGCACCATGTCGAATCAGGATTCGTAACAGTTTTTGTTTTTCTCTGCTGCTCTTCATTTTAACACCCGCTGCAATGTGTAGAGGTGTGTCGCCACCTCTTGTCACTGCCTGTAACTTGGACATGACATCGGCATGCTGAGTTGATGTGTCCGCACACAGAAAAAACTTAATGAGATCTAAGTCCATAGTGTCTATCACTAACATGAGGGGGGTCTTACTGCTCTTGTCATCCTGAAAAGTTTGGTAAATAATCCTGTATCATTGTGTTTTAACAAAAATGATAATCTCTTTACAAAATGAAATAAGAAAACTACACTTATTCTAAAATTAAAAAATTTCAAAAGAGTCACGATGAAGTATTTAGCTTCCTGTTTTCGAGAGAATCAGAGAAACTTATTATGTACTTAAAAGGATTGCTCCATATAATTTGACAAAAATCATTTCATTCTTGATCAAACCATCAGAAATGCTCTAATGTTTGAGACATATCTCCATATAATTTATATTTTTTACCAAATGCGGATTATGCCATGTATAGCATTCAATGAGTGAGATACCTGTAGACAGGTGTTAACCTACCATTTCATCTGTGTCCACGCCTGCCTCCACTAGGGCCTTGATACACTTACTACAGCTTCTGGGATAGGCTGGACTTCTCCGGCTCCTATGGGTCATCAGGGCTAAATTCAGTGGTGTTACCCCTAAAACACAGACCAATGTGTGTAAAAATCTGAATCTGGGACAAAAATCTTGAAAAATATGTAGTTCAGAAAAAATAGCACACAGTACTTAGCACTCAACAAGTGGAAAATATATGTTTAGTAAAAATAAGTTACTGTAGAAGCACAAATTTCAATGGGCATTTAATTTCGTTGTTTTGAAAGTAAACTATTCAATGTATAGTCATATAAAATTTTGTGTGGGATTTAATTTCGTTAATAATTCATAACAACAAAATAAACGAAATTTAATCCCCGACGAACATTTGTGGTTTTTCATATCTGCAAGTATGCAGTAAGAGTAGTGGTTGTAGCTTATATAGTTATAATAATAGAACTCACTGTCACTTAAACTACGAATGTCAAGGTCAGTTTCCTCACAGTCTATGAGAGCATCAAGTACTTCTAGATGCTCATCTCCCATTTCTGCTGCCAGGTGTAGAGGGGCTCGGAGTTCGTACTGATCTATTCTGACGATGACCTTCCCCTGAATGTTAGGATCCGCTCCGTACTTCAGTAATAGTTTGACCACCTCAGCCCTCCCCTCTAACACAGCCAGAAATAAAGGAGTCTAAAAATAGAAGTGTTTTATCATAAAAATACACAATCTTCTTGAAGCTTAATGCATACATTACATTACTTCATGTAATGGGTAAAATAAAGTTATTTTAACTTAACCCCTCAGAATAAGACTAAACTACTCTAACAAATCATAGGATAAATACTTTCCAGTTGATTTATGAGTTAAATATGCAAATCTACATGATATGCACCATTTTTATATTCATTTAAAATTGATGATATGTTACTTAATTCACAAAATCACAAAACAGTAAAGTGGAAAAAGTACCCTTTGCATGTTGTTTTGGTCATTGATGATTTTCTTGAGGACATCTTCTCCATCAACCCTCAGAAGATTAAGTACGTATTCAACCAGTTCTACCGGGGAGCCAGCAATCATCAGGGAGTGAAGAATGCTGTAGGAAAGATAGAGGAGGATATAACATTAACTGGGGAAATTTAAGGAGCAATATTACTGAACTCTACCTGACATTTAACAAGGAAGATAAAACAAAATATCCAAATAAATGAGCTTTAATGCTGATTTTGCAATTCTTAGTTATGAAATTTAAAATAAAATCAAACACAACATGTACAGTACCGACCAGACACAACCTAAGATATAGTATATCTTGGTCCCAACCTCAACACAGGTTCGCTTTCTGTGTTCACTTTGGGTCTGCTCGGGCCAAGATCATATAAGATAAAATGAGGGTCTGCTTCATGCTTGTATAAAAGCTAATGCCAGGTTTGTTCTAGTGGACCCAGAGCTACCCTGAGAAAATGTACAGCAAACCTTCGCACCAAGATTTTTAAAAATAGTGGACCTCGCGCAAACTTGAGGTTCACTTTTGGGGTTTGCTCTGGTGTTAGGTTGTGTTTGGTTGGTACTGTAAATGATATTCCTTTATACTACTGGCACTGTAAAAACTAATGGTAAATTTTTTTTTTTCAGTGGTTTCTATGAAAAATTATGATTTTTACCCTCTAGTACATGCATCATAGGCTAAAATGATGGATGCTTAAAACAGATACTCACTTATCTTCATCCAGATCTTTATCATACATTGCATCAACATTTGTACGTTTGGGAGGAGAGGGTTTAGACTCATCGTCAGCACTGCTAGGACGTTTTGTGGTCTTTTGTGAAAAATTGTCTGTTTTCCTTTGTGTTCCCACTAAATCTTCTTTCTTGATCTCCTCTAAGTCTTGGAAGTCCAGATTGACAGATTCTAGGTGCTGTGGTGACCTATTAATCTGAGTCATTGTGGGAGGGGAGAGGGCAGGGTAGGGGGAGGGGGTGTAAGATGGAGATGGCTCATTGGAATAGAAAGGGGGAGGGGACCCTGAATATCCAGAGGAAGGGCTGCTTGCATAGAACGGGGAAGTCCGTCGGTACGAGGGGGAGGACAGTCCAATATACGACGGTGACAACATCACTTTGTCTTGGCTGATGACATTGTTGATCAACTCCAGTGTAGGGCATTCTATTGGAATATCCTCCAGTTTGCTCCTATCTAATGGCATTGTTGGGGCACAGCCATCAATTTCCAAGTCCTGATCTGTTAAAAAAAATTGTAAAATTGCAATAAAGTTGTTTTTTTTTTTAAATCTTTTCATTCAAGTACCAAGGTACTGATGCAGATTTGATAATGTGATGATATTCAGGTGATTTAGTTATCATCCCTTGAGTGAATTCCCATTATAATGTTACTTTATAAATATGATAAGCTTAATTAACTTCAAAAAAGTGAACTGCCTTGTCACTCATCAAGAATATTTAAAGTCAGATTCAGCATATAAAGAAGCCCATCAGTGTGCTTCTCTATGTGCATCATCCATGCAAGTTTAGGTAGTTATAGTTATTGGGAATGAACTTGCTCCAAAAACTTTACCCTGATCATTCAACTGTAAAATGTACACTGATCCAGAATCAAAAGCAAGTCTGATATGCACAGTCCAAGCAGGTTTGGTCCAGTTGGGGGTAACTCTTTAAGATGGACATAAATCTGGAAAATCTAGGTAAGATTCAATAATCTGAGGCAAGCCAGGAATTGCACACCACAAATGCATCATTCAGTCAAGTTTGTTACAGGCAGGGCTTATAGTTACTTGAGTAGACTTGCTCTTAAATTTTCTGCTAACACCAACAGTCATGCCTGGGTTCAATCAATTTCATTCCATAAACCCCAGATTATCATCACCTCTCACAAAGAAATGTCTCTGCATGCACAAAGAAATGTCTCTGCATGATTCTAATGAATACATCTCTTAAAATCAAACCTGTACTCACCAGTCATTCCATCTGGTTCATCTAAGTCTTGGCCAGCTCTCTGACACCTGTTCGGGTCATTGTGGTACTTATTGGACAGCTCCTTTATCTTTTGGGCCGTTTTATTTTGGTGGTTGATAAGACTGTAGTTCTGGGCTGCTTTATTCCAGATGGTACAGCTAGAGTCCATCCCAGGGGCATAGTTATACTCCTTTGATATAGCTGACCAGGAATACTCCGGGTTGACATTGTTGCCATAGAGATAATCTGGTTCTCTCTTGGTGGAAGTTATGGGGGGCCAGTAACCAGTTTCTAGGGGGGTAAATTGTCCAGGACCCCTCTTTTGAAATTCCTAACAAAAAAAAAGAAATCTTTATAAATATATATACTTAATTTTATAGTACAAAATTAAATAGAGTGACCGCAATAAGAACAAAATGGATTCATTTAGAACATCTACAGACCATTAAAGAAACAACAATTAATATGGATATGTTATGTTTATGATCTACGAATCTGAAAATATAATATTACAAGCATTGCATTGATAGCTTATATTATTAAATGGTTAATTTTTGTATATCTGGATTTCACTTTCATAATTTTCAAACACTTCAATGAAAATTACAAGGAATTTTGATGCAATAGGCTAGTATTAATGCTTCAAATGTACAAAATAGAATATGTATTGGAAATACATGTACTTCATCTGCACTTGCACATATTTTTAAAGACCTTTTAGCTATCTTTATCAAAACAATTTTAAAAATAGGCCATGCAAAGATATAGGTGATACAAAACGATCAGGAACCAATTCTAACAGTTTATCAAGGAAAAGCCAGGCACAACACTTGCCTCAATTTCCTGAAGCAATTCAAATTACCTTTTGTAAATACACCATTTAAAGAAACATATATACAGTGTATATTATAAAAACAAAAGAAAACAAAGGAGCAAAAAAAATATAATCCATCAAAAACAAATTAACCTGGTAAACACAAACAGAAAAGACTTACAGCACTGTTCCTGTGATTTTTGTTGGACTTGCTTCCCCCTCGTTTGTTGGTAACATTAAGTTTAAGACTGTCTAATAGATCAATAAGGTCCTCTGTTGGTTTGTCTTCTTGTTTCTTTTTGGACAGTGTCAGTCCTAAAACAAAATCATACACATAATTATGTACATATATTTTAATGACACATATCAATTTTTTTCCCTCCTATCTTTCGATCATATCTATACTGATTGCCTCCTTGCTGTACAAAGTACTAAATAAATATAATTATGACTGATTCAGCTAGGAATTTTTTACAGTTATTTTCTCTTCCAGTAAAATCCTATATCAAACAAATATATTCAAAATATTTAAACTTAAAAAAAGAAAAATGATTACATTTGAGTTTGCCTAATTAAATTGTTATAGACTATACTGAACATGTTAACACCACTGAGACTTTTTTTTTTTATTGGAAATTCATTTCATCTATTAGGCATAAAATATCAATGCCTTTTCTGAGCCATTGCAACATCAGTTTGTACAGGTGTACTGGTAGAGTGGGAATTCCATTTTGAACATTTAAAGATATAAATAATTTTTTGGAATTGCCCACACACCTAGGATATTAGAAAGGTTAATACTAACTGAATTCATATCACAAATGTACTTCTGAATTAATCATCAAATAACACACCCTTGTAAGTACATAGATGTACATATTTTGTATACATAAGTTTATTGAACTTATATCATAATTGGTAAGATAAAAAAAATTACATATACTTGTCTCTGGTATTAAATGTTAACTTAGCTGACTTTTTTGTTGGTTATTGATTTTAAAATTTTCATTTTTTATCAATTAATTTGAAAATGTTTCCTGTTTTCACAAGTAAGAATTTATATTAACATATACTTTAATTTTCTTGTAATTCCATAAAAAAAATACTTTTTTTTAATAAATATCCTAGAAAGATGTTAGCCGAGAAACCATATAGTAAACATATTAAACAAAAAGTGTGCGTCATCTAACAGTACGTATTATAGGAAGAGGTGGGTGGATGGAATCCCAGAGCAATTATAACTGCTGGGGGTCCAAATAAATTAAACCCTAACCATTCAGACATCTTATGTGTCGGAGTACAGAGATGTTGTCTAAGAAAAGTTGAAACATATCTAAATTAGTTTTTTTTCATGCGGAATATGTGGTCTTATCAAATAGAAAATTTTATTGAACACAAATTATATTGAAATCTCCTGAATACAAAATAATTAATTTATATACAGCCAATGTAAAAGAAAAACAGGTGAAATTTGACAAATCATAATATTATTGAAATACTGGCTCATTAGATTTTCATACTCTGATTAATGAATCACCACATTTTATTAAGACATACCAACTTTAATTGACATTTTGAATTCATTAATTGTGTCAATATAACATGTATTATTATAATACCAATACTCTGCAGTTTATTTTTGATTTTTCATAGAAATCGCCAAATGTACGTTGTATCATATCATTTCCCTTTCCTCCAATCTCGAAAATAAAAAAAAACTACAAATGACATTTGCATATTTGTTTATAAATATGTATAAAATTTATATAACAGTACCGTTGACCAACCCTACAGTAACATAAAGTAGGTGCAGCACTCTTGACAGTGTGTAACCCCCCCCCCCCTTTTCTCCTCCGATAGGTGTGGAGTAGGTAACACTATACTTTCGAACCAGTTAAAAAACAACACATTGCCACATTTCCAAATTCTGTATGTCCATCACTCATGTCACACTCAGTACACACGACAGCTTCTCTATGTATTCCTTACCTTTCGTTATATTTACAAGGTCTTCCACACTATCATCTTGTTCCGAGGCTTCTCTTTTGTACCCTAGATTGTCTGTACCCATTTCAACAACTTTTTGCCATCTTAAATTCTTGATCATAAAGTTACGGAAGTTTCTTCAACACTTATGCTATTATAATACGCAACGAATGTATTTTTCGAAGTGGGAAAGCCCCTTCATCGTCCCTGACGTCATAGGTCAATGTAAACACAAACATGCATGAAAACTACTGACGCTATCCGAAATAACTATTTCCCCCTAAGGATCCTTAAATTATATGAGGGGTCAAACATTTATGTCATTATAGAGTTTTATTATATTTTTTAAGGCAATGATTGATTGTCGAGCCATTTTAAAATGGAAAGGATTGGGGATTGGGGGGGGGGTCACAGGACCTTATTGTCAATCAATAATTTTTTTTTGGGGGGGGGTGGATGTGGAGGGGCACCCTGGTTTAGACCTGTTATTTAAAGTTTTGTTGAATATTACTTAAACTCACAAACACAAAACCTTAATAGAGCTTTTCTGTGTATTTTTTGTGCATTGAGCAATAGAAGCAATGCAAATTTTTTTTTATTAAAAAAAAAAAAATAGCTGCAAAGTAACCCTTTAGACTACAATTTTTCAGTTTGCACTTTTCAAATCAGACAAAGAAGCCTAGGTGTATATGTTTTGAAATAATCCAAGATCCTTTTTTTCAGCAACAGCATGCTGTTTAATTAAAGAAAAAAAACTAATGCAAAGAAAAGTTTTTTTCATTCAGCAAGTCGAGATGTATGAATTCCCAAGTTTCAATGAATTTAGTCTAATGCTATTGAAACTACATTAAAAAACTAAAAAGACAAATAAACAATACATGTACACTATTACGAAAGCCCATTGAGCTCATTTTCGTAGGTTAAAAAAAATAATTTTTTCGCATTATAATGCGAAACTTTCGCGAATAAACGCCTAACTTTCGCGATATAACACGAAACTTTGAGAAACTTTCGCGTTATAACGCGAAACTTTCGCGAATAAACGCGTAACTTTCGCGATATAACGCGAAACTTACGCGAATAAACGCGAAACTTTCGGGTTATTGTGCAAAATTAAATGCATATAGTTATTTTTTTCAGGAATCTTGATCTTCATGGACAGATAAGAACATGAATGCTGACAGGAACTTTAATGAATTTATTAATAAAATATCATTTCCTTTAGAAGTTGTCCTAGAGAAATGATGCGAGAATAGGACAGATAAGTCATCCAATTTTTTGTTTATTTCAAAACCCTACCAATTGATAAACGATTTTTACTTTCTTGTACATGTTTTTCAGTTGTTTAATTCAAGAAATTCTTTAGACTGATTATTTTATTTACGGAAAATCTCCACTTGACACTTTCTCAAACTGATTTTTTTTTCATCAGTAACATTCACTAAAACTGTAATCCATCGTTTTGGATAAAATATATCTTGTAGGAGTATATTGATACTGATAAAACAAAGTGTATGTTAATGGGAACACACCAAAAGAATTCTAAATTAGAAAACGTTGATTTTCATTTACAACTTTCCGATCATCCCCTTGAAAATGTAGAAATGCAAAAATTATTAGTGTTCACATTGATCATAATCTTCAATATACTTGTCATGTAGATGCAGTTTGCAAAACTCTTACATATAAATTATTTACTTTACGAAAAATCAAAAAGTTTCTTCCAATGCGTACTAGAAAACTATTTTATAATGCTTTTATCCTGCCATCGATTTTATATTGTCTATCCATTTGGGGCAATTGTCCTCAAACACACATGGACAGAATCTACAGATTACAAAAAAAAGCAGCTAGGATTATTTTAAATGAAAAATATGATACACCTTCAATGCCTTTATTTAACACTTTAGGTTGGCTAACAGTTTATGAACTTTTATATTTACAGAAAAGCATTTTAATGTACAAAATATTTCATGGAATGTCTCCTGATTATATGCATAATTTTTTTGAATTTCAAAGTTCTGGATCATACACTTTACGCTCAGAAACAAATTCCGATTCGACTACCAAAATATAAAACAAACTTATTTAAAAATTCTTTACAATATTCAGGGGTTATTATCTGGAATGAGTAATTAATATCAGAAATTTCAATCCCCTGCAATATTTAAAAGAAGTGTTGAAAATTTTCTGCTTATAAAACGCAATGATTCTGTGTGATTTTTTTTTCTTTCTCTCTATACTGAAATGCTGATGTTTTTATTTGTTTTTAACATATATACTGGTTGATTTTTTATTGTCTCATAATTGTAATTTTATCTATTGTATATATATATTGTATATGTGTTTTTAAAGAAGGCCCCGAGGAAGACTAGTGTTCGCACTAATTGGGTTACCTTCTCTAAATAAAGTATTATTATTATTATTATTATTATCTTTAAAGTGAGTGAACAATGTGTCATTTCAAGAGCTTAAGTGACATGTGATGCTTTTAAACTAATAAATATAAATGAATATTGTTAATTATAAATTGATCGATGAGGAGGGGTATACTTTTGTTAATTTTTCTCCAATATTTACATATCCGAGGGGTTATTGAAAAGTTCGTGGACTAGAACCATAAATCACAAATATTAAGGAATACAACATAGAATTTTAACACTTTGAATTAATAATTAGTGTTTTCGCACGCAATGGAATGACCACGTTGCGCAACCTCAAAATTGATGTCGTATTTCTACAGTAAATCTAACGGAGACAATTACATGAAAATTTGCCATCCAATTTTCACCCATGTGGTGGGACATAGTTGACAAATTTACCTTATTTTTTCAATTTTCTGAGATCTTAATCTTAACAATTATATTTCAATTCTCTTGAAGGTGTATAAAAAGACGCCTGAAAGGGTTAAATTTTTCCCCGAAATTCCTGATCATGAAGTTACTTCTGAAAAACTCGCATTAATTTTGAAGTTGGGGAACATATTGTTTTTACTCTGTTTCTTATTATTATTATTATTATTTTTCTTCTTCTTCTTCTTCCTGGGTACTTTTTTGTAATATGGTAAACCGTTCAAGGTAAAACCTTTTTAGGGTAAGTAGACATGTTATGCAGATTTGCGGAATCAAGGTCATTTTGCGCGCACGCTTGCAAGAGCGCGCACCAACACTTGAAATAACCAATATAATAGATATAGTCGGAACTTTTCTATTTTTTGATAAAATGCTTTGAAACTCATAATGTAAGGATACATTAGTAGTATATACAAGACGTCATGGTCATAATAGCAAGATCTCACGCGCATGCACGTGCGCTTTGCTCTGATTGGCTGAAACCTAAAGTCTCAATATATTTCTTGTTTCTGTCATAATCTTTTGAAATTTTGAACATTCCTACATTATGAAATCCACATGATATATTAAAATTTTAATAAAACACGCGCAACCTGCTGTAATCTGATTGGCTAAAACTTTAAATGGCTATATCTCCTTTGTTTTTTGACGAAATGCTTTGAAATTTAAAACATATGCATTTTTATCCTAAAATATGATATAGAAAATATTCAAAATCACGTACATGCATGTTTTGCAATCAATTTAAACTTCAAAACTATAACTCTCTTGTTTTTCAACCATTAAACTTAAAATATACTACAAATGTAGTCATTGTGCACGTGCGTGCAAAATTAATTTGTGAGTGCATTTTTTTCCTTTTGGATTAAATGCTTTGATATTATTAAAATTTTAGATAGTGTAGACAAGATAATATGGTCGTTACGCACATGAACACGCGTGCAATGCCTATTTTTTAAATATATTTTGTATTTTTCTTGGAAGACCTTGATTAAGTCTAAATTCCATAAAGTATTTCTTATTTAATAAGATAACAAATATGGCACCAAAAGGGAAAAGCGTTAGAGAATGTTACAATTAGCACTAGTTTTGAATGGTTTAAACAGCATTGTGAAATACAAAATGTGACGGTAATATGGAATCAATATGGAAGAAGAATAGCAAGAAAACTTAGCTTATGATGGTCCAAGATCAAAATTATTATAGCCTTTTGCTTTTCTTTGTAATGAATAAACTAGATCACGTTATAATGCGAAAGTTACGCGTTATAACGCGAAAGTTACGCGTTTATTCGCGAAACCTTCGCGATATAACGCGAAAAAATTATTTTTTTAATCTACGAAAATGAGCCCAATGGGCTTTTGTACGCTATTTTGGTCTATGCTAAGAGACATAAAAAATATCAAAATTGTTAAACTTTTAAATTTTATTCACATTTTAAAACAGAATACAATTACAAACAGTACATTGCATAATACTTACATTCACATGTTTACATTCAAACAACTAAATTATTAATAGTCGTAAATTGATGCTTTTTGAAAAATTTTGAGATCTCGAAACAGAAAGTAAATCACAATAAGGATTTACTTTCGTGAACATGCTGAATTCTTTTTAAAAGAAGTTTGCTGTGCAAATCAAAGTTGAAATAATATTGTAAAATGACTGTACTTATTAGCATGCAGGAACTACATTTTCCTCACCTAAAAACATAAAAACATTATATCCCAATAAACAATGTAGACAAATTCAAAATATAATCCAGTTGGGGGAAAATGCAGAATTTTTGATTTGAAATACAATATTGTTCACTTATAAAAAATGTTGCATACATGCACCTGTCAGAAGAAAATTAGCCGGTGAAGTTATCGCAAAATGACAAAACAAATTTCAAGTTTTATTTAACTAATATTGAAACAATATATACAAGTTAACATGATTTGAATTACTAAACTTACTAACACTATATGTATAAAGACGATCTTTAAAAAATTGATCGTTTGCCCTCTTCCAATTAACTGGCAAAAAGTGGCCCGACTCACATTAGACACAACTTTTTTAACCTCTGTGAAACGATAATTTTTCCTTGTACATTCCTTAATTTTCTCATCCCATCAATATGTCTGTTGATTTTATTCTAGAAAAGTTTCTGACCTATCTATCAACCTACCAGTATTTTTTAACCCTAAGCTGGGAGAGGGCAAACAAACATTATATGAAGATGGCCTAAAAAACAATAATATCAAACTTATGAATAACAAAATTCTCTATCCACTAAAAGCATTTCAATATATTATTGGTTACATTTGTATTATTATTACATAACATATACTAATAGAATAACTACAGCATTATGCAGAGAAAACTATACTGACTAAACATATTAACATAATCAGACATTCTTTTTACAAAATGGACAAACTTATTCTTTGTATAAAATGTCATGACAGTTTTAAAAATTCATTATACATGTAACATGTCAAACACTGATAACAAACAAGTAGATTATCTTCAACTATTTATCCTGAGTTACAATATGGCAGTTCACCCTACCGTGACCTTCTCTTCCTCTTTGGAGGAGGGGCAGCGGGCTCCGATTGCTGGTTTTTTCGCTTGGCTGCCTCTGATCTGGCCTTGATTCTCTCGCTTCTGATAAATAATTTTCCAGATTTTTCCATGGCTTCCACACTGACTTTTTTATCTGCTTTCTTTCCTTTGGCAGTTTTCCTTCCTCCAACCTTTTTGATTTTAATGGTAAGTTTCCTTGACCTTGATGACTTTGTGACCCTGGTTGCTCTCTTCCTTGGTACTGGAATATCTTCCACTTCTTCCACTTCATCTTCCATCACGTCATCCTCCTCGCTGTCAACCGCTGGTGGCTCTTGTTTGATCCTCCCACATTCCCTCTTGTGACGAGTCAGACTGGTCTTTGTCTTGAAGTAGCAGTTACATTTCTTGCAGTATGGCTTCTCTACTCCCTCATGGATCCTCCTGTAATGCCTGTCCCTGGAAACTTTGTCATAAAACCTTCTGTCACATCCATTGCAAGCAAAAGGGAAGATGCCAGTATGACATCTTTCATGGATCTGTAAATGAGCCCTCTGTGTAAATGCCTTTTCACAGAATGAGCATTTGAATGGACGTTCCCCTGTATGAACTGTTAAATGTCTCTTGAGCTTTGCATCATGGGAAAACTTCTTGTCACAGAATGGGCAGGGATAAGGCTTAATGGTTGTGTGAACATTAAGTATGTGGTTGTTGAGCTCACTCTTTGTTGGGTACTTCTTTTCACACTGAGCACACTCAAACGGTCGTTCTGAGGTGTGAACCCTCCTCATATGAACCTCTAACTTGCTGTTCTCTATGAACTTGCCTCCACAAATTGAGCAAACACAAGGCATTTTCCCAGTGTGTGTCATCATGTGACATTTCAGACCATACTTGAACATGAAACTCTTGTTGCATTTGGTGCATTGGAAACATCTCTGTCCTAGAAAAAAGAAATCAATAAAAATGTTTAATAATTAATTCCTCAAAAAATTCATAAAGCCATTAACTTGCATTTCACAATCAATTTCAAGAAAATATGTTTCTAAAATACTGTAAACCAACTTTTAAACAACTTTACTTTATTAGGGATATATTCGACGATTAATTTGATCAAGCCTTTTTGCATGATTTTTCATATACTATAAGCTTGATACATGACGGTATACATTTCTAGCACGCGAAAAAAGTTGGTTTAATGTTCTGTATATTCTTAATTTGATCACCCATGATTTTTCATTGCTTGATACATGGGTATACATTAGAAAAGAATGTTCAACTAACCTGTGTGGCGAATCAGATGCTTTTTTATAGTGTCTCTCATGGTGAAGAGCTTGTGACAAGTGGAACATTCAAATACTCTGTCTCCACTGGGATTTGTTGTTTCCCTGAAGCTCCTGGTCTTGGCATTATTCCTCATCAGTTCCTCCACGCTTTCTGTCACCTTGCGGAATCTCTCACAGCAGGCCATCAGGTGCTCCTTTGGGACACCTATGTCGCTATAATCCTCATTGTCTTCACTGTTTTCCTCAGCGTCACTATGAGGAGAGACTTTGGGAACAAATTTCTTCATCCAGGAGTTGACCGTTTTGGATACGACATTTTTACTGGGTTTCTTGGCTTTGTATGTTGGTTTTTTGACTCGTCTGGTTTTGTAATCTTCATCGTCTTCATCATCTGAGAAATCCGAGTCTGTGCTCTCGTCCGAGGTGAATGCTGCCTGTCTCTCCTTGGCTTGAGGGGAGTAAACCATGGGTCTTGATGGAACCATTGACCTGGAGGAGAGGTAAGATAAATGGTCCAGGCCAATATTGGAGATTCTGGCTTTCATGTCAGTGTCACTCAGATCACTGGCATCATCACTAAACTCAGCTGTTTTGGATTGTCTCTTCTGATGTGCCTCTGAAAAAATCATAAAAACTTCTATACATGTAGATTTTACAACCTTCCTTTGATATTTAAATTACATGTATGTCCTTATTTACACTGTATGCAATAAGTACAATATGATGTACAAAAGAAGAGATGAATAACTTCTTAAAAATTTAAAAGCATGTTCCAAAAACGAAATAAATAAGTACATGTAACATAATTGTACACTTACTTTTAATTCTACGTGGAGAAATTTTAATTTCCTCCACTTCTATACTCTCCACCTCCACTTCTGCAGGTTCAATATCATCCCCAACCACTGCATGCTCGGCTATGATGCCAGAGTTGTCCCCCTTATCATCCACCATATACACAAAATTCTCCACCTTGGGTTGTTGGAGCTGCTCTGCAATGGCTATCAAGGAATTAGCAGCATCTGTGTCAGTAGGGACATCCACCGTGATTTCCTGAGGAGCAAATACATCCTGTGTTTCTACAACAATCTCCTCTGTAGTTTCATTTTCTGTGTTTTCAATGATGTACTTGTTGTTGTCCTCTTCATAAGAAATGGTTTTAAGTTCACTGGCTTCTGGAGAAGTGACAATATACTGAACTGTGCTGGCAGAGGTCTGTGGAAGATAGACTGGCTCTGTGGTAACTGCTGGTGATGGAGAGCTGACAATAATCTTGCAAGGTCTTCCAGCTAGATTGGGAAGTATGGACCTGGCACCTGTTATGAGAGACTGACCTTGACCTCCTTGAAGTGTGACCTTGGGTGAAGAGGATTGTGGAGAAGTAACAATGAACTGCAATGGTTGACCAGAGCCCCCCATGCTACTTGGGAGGATGATTTTGGTGCCTGCTGCCAAACGTGTGGTGGACTGTTTGTTGCCAGAGTACTTGGCGGGGATGATAATCTGTGTGGGTGGCTTGGGGTTGACATTTTTACTTGGCATAGGCTTGAGAAGTTCCTCCTTCAAGCGACTCTGGGCTGGTACTTTAACAGTCTGGAAAAGAAGATCAGACTTTAAAATTGAATGAACAGATGATCAAATAGAAATCTTCTGCTTTTTTAACAATAAATAAAGGAATTATTTTTAATAATTTTAATCCTGATTTTGATATGTTTTACTTTGTCCTCATATTGCCATACATGTAGAGGTGCAGGTAAGAATTGGTCTTCACCTACCTGAACTATTTCTGGTTCTTTTTCCTTACTAGGTGGAACATATGGTTTTGTATTGTTATCCATCTTGGTATTTCACTGTAATCCAATAAACAATTTTTATTAAAAAAAAAAAAATCATACATATTTCAGAGACAAAAAACATTTTTTTGAAAAAAAAATAAAATATACCCCGGTACTTTTTATTTCATATTTCATTGCTAGGTTCAAATCGTATTTGGTACAACTAAGCAAAATCATCACCAGGAGGGATTGACAGCTGCAGATCTGTAGCGTTATGGTTTTTTATTACATACTTAGTAATAAATACAGGTTTTTTGCATATGCGATATGGCTGACGTCACAATAGCCGTATCAGCCCTGCAGGGCTGATATGGATTTGCGAGGCTGATATGGATTTGCAGGGCTGATACGGATCAAAATCACAACCTTAATTAATGAAACCTCAAAAAACACTGTACTTGTGATCATACACATATTTTGGGGGTAACAAAATTCTCTTAACTTTAACTTTTTGAATGTAATGATAATCTAATTGATAATTAATTGATTATTTTCAAATTAAGAATCGGGGACATATGAAATATAAGTACATGTAGAAACAAACCAAAACCGTATGAGACAATAGACCGTGTTCATGTAAGAAGTCTGTGCATGATTATTTACTTACTTTCTTCTCAACTCAATGTGTTCTGTATTTTATTACTAAGTATGTAATAAATATAATAAAACATACCCTTTTCCACATCACATCCTGTATCAGCCCTCGGGCCTTCGGCCCTCTGGCTGATATTGGTGTCTCAGGCTGATACAGGATGTGATATAGAAAAGGGTACATATTATTCTCTATATATGTATGTCTTTGACCATAACGCTACAGATCCCATAATGCAAAAAAGGTGCAATTTAAGGCACAATATTTTTTGCGCACTTTAAGGGAGAATTTCCCCACTTTCTAGCATTGGTCAATCAACTACCTTTTAGTCCCTAATTCTAGACACATTCTGAAGCAAATATGTATATTTTATCCACCTCCCAACCATTTATAGTTGTCTCTACAGACAATAAACATGCTTTAAGTGAATTCTCAGCAATCTAACAAATAATTTTAATCAAGTGTGTTTATTGCTTGTAGAGACAACAATAAAATTGTTGGGAGATGGATAAAATATACAGATTAGTTAAATAATGGGAGTGAAAGGTAGTTGATTGACCGATGCTGGAAAGTGGAGAAATTCTCCCCAAAAGTGTGCAAAAAATATTGCGCTGTAAATTGCATTATGGGATCTGCAGCGTAATGGTCAAAGACAAATATATAAAACCATAACACTACAGATCTGCAGCTAGAGGGATTGAGAGCTAAAAAAAAGTGTAACATGACCTACATCTTCGTTTTCTAGATAGAGACAGTGTTTTTCTATTATTTTAAAGTAAAGGGTTAGAGATCAGTTGTAACCAGCTTGGGGTTGAAGTTTATGGACAAAATCTCAGTAGAACTTATAATTGTTACAAATTTTTATTTCAAACTGAAAGCCACATTTATGTCGATCAATTGAAGCTGTCACTTTGGCCAGTGGCCGTTTTTTTTTAAGGAAAACACTGTAGAGAGCTTCAAGAGATTGAGAATAAATTTGCTTTATAAGTTAATTATAAGCTTTACTATATAGAAGGAAAAAAAGAGACTGGTGTTTTTTAAGTATAATTTAAATATCACAATTAACATGACAACAAAGACAGAGGAATCTCGGATTAAGTTCATGTAACTCATTATACTGGCAAAAACTAAAGATTTTTTGGAAAAGACTTTTTTTGGTCTTGTTTTGAATTTGGTAAAAACATTGCCTGGACAAGCGCCATTTTGATAAGATGGATACATTTACACGCTCGGTGCCCGAGTAAACTCGAGCTGTTTCAAACTAATGTTGTAAATAGAAGTAAAATTTAGGTACCATTGCAAATGAACTTAAAGATGCAATTCAAAAAATCGAGACATAATACCTCTCATTCAATGTCCATGAAATAGGGACGCCATTTGCAATTTTCAACCACATTTGGAAAGGGAGGGAAGCCCGAGTAAACTCGAACCGAAGATTGTCTATTTCATCAAATAAATAAGCACTAGTTTTAAGTAATGTATTTTTAAAAATTATAAGCAGAATAAAATAAAAACTCACCACGGGTTGTGCAAAACACGAGACAGATACTTCTGTTATAAAGAAAGGGTTTTCCGCCTTGCAAAAGATTCCGGAAGCAAACTTTCAACGTAATTATAAAAACCAAACTAACTCCAGAATTCCCGATTAGTCTGATTAATCGAGAAACATGAAATATTTTTAAAATTTGAAACTAGCTACGGCTGTGCTTATTGCACAGTTCTAGGCCATTTTTTGTTTAAGGTTATAATGTATGTCTCTGCTATTGCGAGGGCGTTCATTTGATTCTGAAAAAAGGGGGGGAGTGACTTTTTTTAAAAGAAACATGCTGAAAATAAATATGTCCTCCACTGAGAAGGAAATAAATAATCTGATAGATCTTACCTTGACTGGAGGTAGCACTAGCATCCTCCCCCCACAAAAACGGAAGATTGAATTTATATATGCATATATATTCTGACAACCTTTTTATTATTATTTAAATAATTACAAATTTTTTAAAAATAAATAATTTGTCAACTTTTTTCAGAGAAGAAAATTAAACAACTGACTCTGAACATAAATGAGTATGACCATGTAATTCTAATTTTAGGACAACTGCTAGGCCCTCGACTTATGGATAGGAATAAATTATATGTATTCATATACTCATATTGTGGTCTCACCCTACCCCCAACAGGGACATGACATCAACCCTTCCTTGGAATGCTTCAATATCATTAAGACTAATATGGTCTTCCTGTTCTGTAGAGGAAGTAAAAATGCGGTAGTTGAAAACTTAAAATTCTCTGATTTTTTTTGGGGGGGGGCCTTATACTCATAATTTTTTTTTTTTACCTCAAGTCCTTGGCCAAGGAGTTTGACCTTTTTGAAAAAAAAAAAAAAAAAAAAAAAAAAAAACTTTTAACTTTGACCATAATTTCTCCATTGTTGGAGCAAGGACTTTTATACTTCACTTGCAAGACTTGTATATTCTATTTAGTCACAATAAATTTCTTTTGGTACCAACATTTTTGATCTCTTTACATTGACATATCATATGCATTGAAAAACTTTAACCTCCATTCCAGATTGATTGTTCTAATCATTTTCTCCAGAGATAGGGTGGTAATATATATAAAAGTTTTGGCTTAATATAAAGAATGACAAAAAAGAGGTAGTTGGTTTGACAATTTGTCATTATGATGTCATTTTTACCATACATGTATATCCCAAGAAACTCAATAAAAATGGTAATTTTTTAAATTAAAGCTATTTAATTTTTCAATTTATTGTAAAGATCACAACCTCTTATCTAAATAATGTTATTTCATAATAGAACTGTTTCTGAAGATTACAAAAAATGGTTTATTTTTTTATTAATTATGGAGTCATGCATCCATATTTTGTTCTTTGCTGAAAGAACTCAAATAAACCTGTTTTCCTTGAAATTTCAAGAACTTAATTTGCAATTTCACAAAGTCCATTTTCCAACACCTGTTCTTAATTTAAAAAAAATTTAACAGGAAATGAAAACACAAAGTTTCTACGTTATTTTAATGTTTGAAATGGAACATATGGTGTTAGTTATTAAACTGGTAAATATAAAGAGGCAAGTAAACCCATACCAGTAGCTCTTTATGTTTTATGTTGAATTCTACCTCTTAAATATAAGTTTAAAAACCTGCTGCACACTGTATCATAAACAAAGCATGATACATGTATCCATACACTATAAGAAATCTTATATTTAGACATACGATCCTGTATTTTGATATATACAATGAGTTTGCAAATGAATGGAGGTTATACAGATGCATAGAAATATAATAGGATTAATTTATGCCTCTTGAAATTACAATAAACACATGAAAAAGATTTTGCATTCTTAATTTATCTGTAAATGTAACATTAAAACTCTGTAGTTGCCTTTAGCTATATGAAGAACAAGATATTAAAATCTGAAATATTTTAATTAAATACACATGTAAATTATACATGGATGACAAATTGGCAAGCATACATGTAGTCTACTCATGGTTTGTCCAGAGATTCTGTGTAATGGCCTTCCAGAATTAAAGTTATGCAAAAATGAATATTTTACATTTTAAAAACTTATGCAAACATAAATGATATCATTGAACACTTCAGGATATGCCATACAATTTATATACTTCTTGAAATCATGCGTACCTTGATAAAGTATTTGAGTTTTTTTTCAAAAAAGCTGTGTTCTGCCTTTACTTTTCTTAAAATTCATACATTCCTTATCTAAGCATTGTCTTTTTTTATGTGTAGAGTCTATGAACATCACACTGATCTCTTGGTCACTTTTCCATCTGCTGTTCCAAAGTAAGCCACCTTGGCCATATTGATAAAAAGACCAGTTTCAACCACACCTAAAACAAGACCAAAATATTCCTTTGTGTAATTCAATCCATAAATAAAAGAAATAAAATGATTACCCATAATTATCAGGGTTTGATTCACCATCCTGAGTGCACTGGGCGTCTGAAAAACTTATTCATTATAAATATAAGAGTTTCACCTCATACAAGGTGAAAAGTAAATACAATACTATAAAACAACGTACATGTTTAGACCATAACTGTATTTAATGCTGATATAAAATCTCAATACCTGGAATCATTTTGATAGCAGTGTTACATTTGTCCCAGTCTTCAGAGGCTTTGGAGAACTTCCAGTCTAACACAAAGTTTCCATTGTCTGTCACCACTGGGCCCTGTAACCAACAAATGTGTTACATATTATCCCAAAAAAGCATGCATACAGGAGCAGAACAAGTTGTAAAGAAAATTCCACATTCAATTAGACATCATTTAATACATTTGAATATACTGATATTGCATTTCTTAAAGATATGAATTCCCTTTACCCAAGGAATTACTTCATATCAGCTGTGGTTAAAATTAGCCCAGTGGTTTTTAAAAAGAACTTGAAAATATATTGTTATGGTGACAGACAGAGAAATAATAGTCAAATTTTGGCTCCAGTGAACTAAATACAATATACCAAATACCAATATAGAAAATTTAATATTTTGTAAGTTATCTGGTAATCAGAGTTTTACTCACTGCTTTCTGGTGGGCCATCCTTAGTACCACTTCACCCCCAAACAGCTCCTGTATTTTAAGCTGTACTGGTTTGTATGACATAGGGATAACTTCTATTGGAATTCCTTTCTTGTAAGTTGTACCCAACACCTGGGAGTCTTTCCTGAAAATATCAAGAGTCAACTGTATTATGACACCTAAGGGTCAACTTGTGATATGGTACAGTATTTTAGTTTTTAGTGATGATCCAATTTTGATCCAATTTTTAACGATTAATTTTAACTCTCTTTGCAAGTATTTTTGGATAAAAAAAAATAAACTCACAAATAATTGTCAACATTTTTGCATTTTGAAAGATTTCAGAAATTTCCATTTTTAAGTAACTAATGAAACACTGTTCATTCAAATCGAAAACCATTACACAGAATAATTTATCTTGAGTAGTCGACTTGTGTACCATTTCATGTTGACATCAGACCAAAATTTTAGGAAGAGAAGCATTTTAAAAAATTGTTTACAGAGAAGGACAGCTAGACAGAAAGATGAATGGATGGACAATGGACATCTTTACTATTGCCTAAACTCCTCTGCTCTCTGACCAGTAGAGCTAAAAATTAGTGTTGGCAACGAATACCCGGTTAACCGGTTAACCGTCGAACGATGTGAGTATCGGTTAGTGAAACTGCTATTCGGTTACTCGGATAAAAATACTTTTTTCACAGTAAATACGTATAAAATAATTTTTATGTCACTTGTAAATGTATATTGACATATTTCCCTAATTTAATTACCGTTACTCTTGGTTCACAATTGGGATCAATTGGTTTTGATTAGTTTTCACAGTGTATATAATTGATGGCTTTGATTATCATGGGGCTACATGTTTCGAAGACCTGATTTATAATTACCTAATTTAGACCTGTGATAATCAGAATACTTTCACAAGATACCGCTGCAAACATCTAAGGCATGGATATATTTTAAAAGAACGACTGAATCGAAACCTGTCAAATGCAAATTACTAGTATGTGAATCGAAGTTGTCGTATACGGGTAGTTCTACATATATGCTATTTAAATTGCCTTAGATTGAAACATAATTCGGAAACCAGCGACTTGCAGGAAACACAAAAAACCCAACAATTACAGGGTATATTAATTCTCCTTGATCGCGACACATATCTTCTTCATGTGTTGATTATTTTTGTTTATTTAACGAAAACAAACTGACCATTTCAAGTGAAATTTATAATCGAAATTCTTCGACGATGGTGTGTGTGCTTTTAAGTTTGTATTTGTAAATAAAGTTCATATACATTGCATTTGTGGTTTATTTCTACCAATAAGTAAAAGGATGAGGTTATTAATAAATATGGAAACTATAGCAAAAAATCATCCAAGTAACCGGGTACTCGATCGGAAGATTAAGCGAGTAACCGATTACTAAAAATCGTCCGATTTGCCAACACTACTAAAAATAGGACTATTTGGCCATAACTTTGTAACCAGAAGTCTCTGTCGAGACTGAAGCTCTACTGGTTTGTACTTATAGCAAAGGAAGAGAAAAGTACTTAAGCAATTGGGAATTGAAACTTTACAACAGCAATAAATAGAACAATGATCCTTGATAAAGTCTCTTTATGTTCTTAGTGTAGTCTACTTGTGTGCCAAGTTATATTGAAACCAGACCAAAACTGTAGGAGGAGTAGCATTTTGAAACAATTTAACAGAAATTTCTATTTTTAGTAACCACGACAACACCCTTCATGGAAATCAAAAACCGATAAACCTAATTATGTATCTTAGTGTAGTCTACTTGTGTGCCAAGTTATATTGAAATCAAACCAAAACTGTAGGAGGAGTAGCATTTTGAAACCATTTTAATGAAATTTCTATTTTTAGTAACCATGACAACACCATTCATGGAAATTAAAAACCGATATACAGAATTATGTATCTTAGTGTAGTCTACTTGTGTGCCAAGTTATATTGAAATCAAACCAAAACTGTAGGAGGAGTAGCATTTTGAAACCATTTTAATGAAATTTCTATTTTTAGTAACCATGACAACATCGTTCATGGAAATTAAAAACCGTTATACAGAATTATGTATCTTAGTGTAATCTACTTGTGTGCCAAGTTATTCTGAAATCAGAGCAAAACTGTAGGAGGAGTAGGAGCATTTTGAAAGAATTTCACAGCAATTTCTATTTTTAGTAACCACGGCAACATCGTTTATCGAAATCAAAAATCGATATACAGAATTATGTATCTTAGTGTAATCTACTTGTGTGCCAAGTTATATTGAAATCAGTCCAAAACTGTAGGAGAAGTAGCATTTTGAAAGAATTTCACAGGAATTTCTATTTTTAGTAACCACGGCAACATCGTTTATCGAAATCAAAAACCGATAAAAAGAATTATGTATCTTAGTGTAATCTACTTGTTTGCCAAGATATATTGAAATCAGACCAAAACTGTAGGAGGAGTAGTATTTTAAAAGAAATTTCACAGAAATTTCTATTTTTAGTTACCACAGCAACACCGTTTATTGAAATCAAAAACCGATACACAGAATTAAGTATCTTAGTGTAGTCTACTTGTGTGTCAAATTATATTGAAATCAGACCAAAACTGTAGGAGAAGTAGCATTTTGAAAGAATTTCACAGAAATTTCTATTTTTAGTTACCACGGCAACACTGTTTATCGAAATCAAAAACCGGTACACAGAATTATGTATCTTAGTATAATCTACTTGTGTGCCAAGTTATATTGAAATCAGACCAAAACTGTAGGAGGAGTAGCATTTTGAAAAATTGTTTACAGACAGACGGACAGACAGACGGACGGACGACGGACGCATTACTATCGCATAAGCTCTTCTGGTCTCTGACCAGTACAGCTAAAAATTGTGATATACAGGAAAAAAATTATGCAGTAAATGTATACTGTTTAAAGAGCATTTATGAATTTACTCATCAGTGGAATTGGTGAGCATTTGGTTTTTCAATCAAACTGTTGTAACATTTCTCCAGTACCTGTCATCAGCAATAATGATGAGTTCTTTGGCACATGAAGCCACAATCTTTTCCTGAGTTTGGCAACCTCCCCCTCCTTTAATACATGTTAGATTTTTGTCAGTTTCATCTGCACCATCAATGACTACATCCAACTATAATGAACAAAAAATGAGAAACACATCATATGAGAAGATATATTTTTCTATTTTACACTTAATTTCTTGGTGTGGAAAATCAGACCTATATTGTAATAACATGGCTAAGGAGGATAATTTCAAATTTGAGTTTCCATCAAATTTCCTTTTTGATTTTAATATAATGATCCATAGCCGTATTTGTGAATAATGAACATGCTTGTAGATCATGAAACAAGAGGCCCACGGGCCTTATAGGTCACCTGAGTATCGTGTAACAACTTTCAAACAATTAAAATTGGTTCGTGTTTTACCCCAGAGGCCATGAAATTCACAATTCACAATTTTGAAAGAGGCACCATTGCTTATAATATCATAATTATAAACTTAGCATGCTTACTCTATTTACTTAATACCCAGAGGTAGATCAGAGTAACAAAGAGAAAATGCACTTCCACTTTCTAACCAGTAATGCATCTCAACCCAAAGGAACCACTTACCCTGGGGACACATATTTCAAAATTTTGCAAATTCTAACATAAAATTATTGATTAATACGGAAGAGCAGATTTCAAAGCATCAATTTATTTTCAGACAATGTAACCCCCCCCCCCCCCCCCAGGGGGCATAAAATAACCATTTTGCTAGATGCACCTTTCTTCATCATAAATAAATATATACTTGGGTCATTGGCATATAACCCAGGAGCAAATTTAAAGAATAGATTTTCAAAGAATTAATGCATTTTTCACGATATAATCAATAGAGCCCCGCCCTAATACCTGAACCCTTGACCCTGGGGCCATAAAATTCACAATTTTGGAAGTGGCACTCTTGCTCATCATAACTATGTACTTAGTTAGTTATTTAATACCTAGAAGCAGAGAAGAAGATTTTCAAAGAATAATGCATTTTCACTTTGGCCATAGAGCCATGCCCTAATACCAGAACCCCTGACCCTGGGGCCATAAAATTCACATGCAATTTTGGAAGTGGCACTCTTGCTCATCATAACTATGTACTTAGTTAGTTTATTTAATACCCAGGAGCAGAGAAGAAGATTTTCAAAGAATTCATACATTTTCACTATATGATCAATAGAGCCCCACCCTAACACCAGAACCCCTGACCCTTGGGCCATAAAATTCACAATTTTGGAAGAGGCACTCTTTCTCAACATAACTATGTACTTAATTAGTTTACTTAATACCCAGGAGCAGAGAAGAAGATTTTCAAAGAATTCATGCATTTTCACTATATGATCAATAGAGCCCCAACCTAACATCAGAACCCCTGACCCTGGGGCTATAAAATTCACAATTTTGGAAGAGGCACTCTTGCTCAACATAACTATGTACTTACTTAGTTTACTTAATGCCCAAGAGCAGAGAAGAAGATCTTCAAAGAAATAATGCATTTCACTATATAATCTATATAGCCCCACCCTAGCACAAGAACCCCTTACCCTGGGGCCATGAATTTCACAATTTTGGTAGAGGACTCAATGCTCATTACATTCATGCCAACAGTTTGCCTGCATGATGTCCAGGAGTAAAGAAGAAGATTTTTAAAGATTGCACTAATTTTAGTGGTTTTGGCCCCACCCCTCAGGCCCCAGGGGGGCAGGGACCGTGAAATTCACAATTTTTGTTCCCCTTCATCCATAGATGCTATGTGCCAAAATTGGTTGAAATTGGTTGAGAGGTTGCAGAGAAAAAGCTGAAAATGTTCAAATGTTAACACACGGCGCACAGCGCACGACGCACCACGACGGACAACAACGGATAGCAATAGGTCACCTGAGTTTACTCAGGTGACCTAATTATACAAAAGGACAGCTATCTTGGCATACATTGTTTCATCTAAATGTTGATCACTTTAAATACAAAGAAAATAGCAATAACTCAAAGCATCTTCCCAAGTCCAGGGTAAACTGGACTGGAACAGACTCAGCAGTATGGATCAGAAACCCTTGGCTTCTGTAGACTTTGGAAGATGAGCGCAAAGTTGAATAAGCATCCTCTTTCTTTTGTTGCTTTAATTCTTTTGAAGTGTGTGTGTCATGGCCTTTACATGTAACAGAATCATACCTTTGGACAAGTCTCTAAAGTTCCCAGATTAAGTTTGTGCTCCTGAATAAGCTGGTTAGCCTGAAATATGAAAATAAGGACCCCAAAAATGATTATGCATTATGCAAGAGACTGCTGATTCAAAAATGTTTAACACTGTATTTTAGTCAGATATGTAAATACCAGACAGACTTCAAATGATTTGCTGGTACATGTACCAATTAATGCTATATTGATTTATTTCCAGTATTATTATAAAAGTTCTTTCAAAAATATAAATTTTGTCATTTGCACAAAGGTCAAAATATCAAGGGTTTGACTATATCTCACCTGGAAAGATGTGGGAACACAGATAATGTTCAAGTTTTCTTTTTGTATTCTCTCAGCTAAAACAAAATGTATAAAGATATTAAGTGAAATACTAAGATATTAAATAAAGATAAACATTTTCAAACAATAGCGTCTAAACCAGATTCTTTCCTACCAAGCCTTTGAACAGCATACACAACAGTAGATCCACTTCCAATGCCAACGTTTTGGTTATTCTGCAAAACACATAGAAGAAACCATATAAGGAAACAAGATTACATGATTAATTAGTTAACTGTTAAGGTAATAAAAGCAAGAGGTCCATGGGCCAAATTGCTCACCTGCAATAAAAGAAGATAAGATATAAAAGTGATCATACACACCCTTTCCCAACACCTTTGCTGTTCTTGAGAAGAGGATTTTGAAAGATTTTTTCCTTTATATTTCTATGTAAAACTTTATTTGCTTGTTGTGAATCAATAAATAGCCCAACAGTTTTACTGTTTTTGGGAAGATTTTAAAAATTTTTTTCTTATGTATGTCTATAAATGTAAAACTTTGATCGCCCACTGTGGCCCCATCAAACACCAGGGAGTCAAGATTTGAATAAGCTTGAATCTAGATTATGTCAGGAAGCTTTCACTTAAGTTTCATGTTTTCTGGTCCAAACATTCTTGAAGAGAAGATTTTTTAATACCTCACCTAATTTTCACTTATTTCTTATACTTATCTCCCCTTGGAAGAGTATGTGGTCCTTGATTTGAAAAAAAATTGAATTTCCTTTACCTAATGATACTTTATGCCAAGTTTGGTTGAAATTGGACCAGTGGTTCTGGAGAAAAAATAGGATGAAAATGTGAAAAGTTAATGACAATGACAACAATGACAGAAAATGGAAAGCTCAATTGAGCCTTCGGCACAGTTAGCTTAAAATGACTTGATAGTAAACCTAAACTTTGGATTCTAGAAACTAATTTAATATTAAGGAACTCTCCATAGTCAGACCTACGTATCATGGAGTTTACACAACGGAGATGTGTAAATTCATCCTTCATATTATATCTAGTTTTATGACATCAATTGAAATTGCATGGATGTAAAGAGAGGGAGTGAAGAGAAACTAAAAAGGGAAACATTTTGGTTCCAAATGACCATCTGTTATACATGGCAAGATGGGTCATGAAGAATATTGCAAGTATCATATGTTTTACAGTGTGGCTGTTGGGGCGAGCGCAGTTCATCAAAAACACACTTGAAACTTCAAACATCAAGTTGCACGAGACAGCTCGCCTAGCTGTGATGTCAAATGACGTAATGGAGCTTGTTGGAGCTTATGGAGACAGCAGAGTGTCTGGTTGAAACTATAGACCTTGTGCAATTTTTGACGAAACACACGGAAAAAAAATTACCGTATATACTCGCCTATAAGTCGGTCCGCCTATAAGTCGGTTGTATTTAATAAGCTTATATATCAGAGGAATGACCTCATGCTATACCATTCATTTTATAGCTCGCCTATAAGTCGGACGTAGAGTTTTGGACCAAAAATTAACTCCAAAAAATCCGACTTATAGGCGAGTATATACGGTAAGCTTTTTAATTTAGTTTATTTATTTATTCACCATTATCGCATGGAATCCTGTTTCACACCTAATGTTATTTTTAAAAAAGTCTGATTTCGTAGTTCCCTGCTTTTTATATTGTGACATGTGCATGTCTCCCCTGCACATGTCACAATATAAAAGCAGAGGGTAAGAGTCAGGGCAAAGAGTCAGAGAAATCTTGGATTAGTAGCTAAATAAAGCTATCTCAGGTAGGTAAATAAAGCTATGCAGATAATTTAAGCTACGTATCTAAATCTAGTGATTGTACCAGACCTGTTGAATTATCTACATGCATTTGTCATGTTTCCCCTTGGCCTACCAAAGCGGATGACATTTTCACAAACCTTTGTAAAATTGCAGAACTATGCAATTTGAAATACCTTAACATGTTCGTCAACAGCAGCAAAAGCTGCAGCCTTTTTCCCTGCCTCTATTGCCGACATTGTCACACACTGCCGAATCTGGGCGGTGACATGAAACTGAAGACCTCGACCGGCTCGAGCTACCGAAGTAAACATTCGCACATGGAGGAAGAAGATTTGTAGTGTTCGATTAGAAAGCGCGCATTCATATCCGGTAAAGTCACGACGCTACTTAGACGCTACTTAAAATTTTGACTAGAAACAACTTCATTATTAGATGGGTGCGTCGATTTACCCAAAAGGACCCAAAAGGACCCAAAAGGAACCCAAAAGGACCCAAAAGGACCCAAAAGGAACCCAAAAGGACCCAAAAGGAACCCAAAAGAACCCAAAAGGACTTTAATTAATATATTATAATACATTGAAATTGAATTAAATTATGAATATTATATCATACATTTACATAAAAGTTGACAAAAACATACATTTATATTGTTGCAACTGTAAAAATAACATATAACTTTTATAGCACATCAAACACTAAATCTGGTCAGGTATGCTTTGATTTCTTTTAGCTGAAATTAACAAAGTATTAATACTTCTCCTTTTATTATCATATCTTACTATATGATATTTAATAAATGAAAAAAGTTTTATTTTATGACATCTTCTAGGCATATTGTATCGGGGGTGGGTGGGGTGGGTGTGTGAAGGGGGGGGGGGGGCTCCCACACCTCCACTCCAAACACACACTTTCCACAAAAAAAAACTAGTTTCAGATTTAATAAAATATGAAAATGTTTATTACATATCCATTTATTATCGTTATTTAAAGTACTTTTGGGTTGTTATTAATTTCCTTTTGGGTTCCTTTTGGGTTCTTTTGGGTTCCTTTTGGGTCCTTTTGGGTTCTTTTGGGTCCTTTTGGGTCCTTTTGGGTAAATCGACGCACCGTTATTAGATTATTATTCGCACCAACTTCCAAAAACTTGGCATTTAAAATATATAGGCCTACATATTTTTTTTAATTAACAATCCCTTTTGCCATTTAGGCCCTGAGTGAAATATAGTGGAATTTTGAAATTTACACTTTTTTATGTTGATGTAAATTTAGCACCTATTTAAAGAACACTGTACGAAAAATTTCTTTACTGAGGAAATTATTGAACAACATTGTCTTTGAAAACGAATTAGACGTGGAACGACCTGTGCAATGCCAAACGTGTCCAATCAAAATGGCCGCGTTTCTGTAACTGCTGAGTTTGCAGGTGAGAAAATACTTTGTTTGAGTACATCCACAATCACCACGAAATATTATTTCATGTAAGATTATTGACACTGGGTATTTTCTTTGCTTTGAATTGAAAAAGAAGGCAAAGATTAGAAAGAACGTTCTGTAATTTAAGTGTTGTTGTCCTATGAACAGCTTTTCTAGCAGGGCTCACTATTTGTAGAGGAATGACCTACTCTCGTCATGGGGTATAGCCGGATAATCAAAGCTGGTTCCTTACCGTCAAATCAAATTTTCAGTTAAAAATATAGTACTTGATCTCAGCCCTTTAATTTTTTTAGCCAATACAAACAATTAAAATACCATAAGGAATTTTCTGTTTAAACAAATAAACATTACTCAGGTGCAGCACAATCTTTTGAGTACGCTCTATTGCTGTATTTAGCTATATATCTTTCTTAAGATATTCAACTAAATTTGTTAAAGCTATTTATATGCAGTTTTTCATTGAGCTGAAAAGAATACCATAAAATAAAATTCAAATTTTCATTACAGCTATTTGTTTCATATTTCGAATATTCAGTAAAGTAATAAAGGAGTTATTATGCCTTTTCATGACTTTCAAACGCCAAATTCGCATATCGCCATCCCCAACCCTGTTTTCACAACAAACGTCCATTTCTAAGTGTCAATTATCTTGATATACCGCCACAGGTGCATGTGGTCAGTGAAGCAGCTAATTGGTTGATGCTATCACTGTTGAAAAGCGTGTAAAGCCAGACAAGGTACATACGAATTAAATAAACAATAATTTTTACATGAACTAATGTTATCATTTTGTTTTCTGTTTAATAAAAATGATTTAGTCACGGATTTGCCACGAAAGCGATTGTTGTTAAAATTCGCCAATAACAATATTATTTCGATGTTCTCTGCTTTAAACAATGCAAAGTTTGCTTAAGAAATAATGATACGATATACATTGTGAAGGTTTGATTAACAATGATGCCATAAACTATGAATTTATTCAAGAATTCATTTTACCTACTATCGGCATACCCTATTATCCCTATTAACTGCCCCTGCCCCTATAAGCGCCCCCTTAGGTCTTTTTCATTTGTCAGGAAATAAGGGCCCCTTGTACAGTGATTAAAATTATCTAGAATCGTTTCAAAAGTCTGTCAAAATTTGAAGGAAGTGAAAATGAAGTGAAAATGAAACTTGTTTATTATCTAAATTCTTGGTGGAAAATGTTACATTTTGCATAATTGGGTGGATTATCTTCATTTAAAGTAAAGTTAGACATTATTTTAGAGATTCTTTGAATTTATTTTTTTTCCAAAATATTTTTTGAAGTTAAGATATGATATTAAATATTACAAAGAGAATACCAAAATAACCGCCCCCTTTTCACAATTTTCTAAGCGCCCGTGGCGGTTAATAGGGATTATATGGTATATAATGACGATCGACCCATCATGTTTTTTTTTTCAATATCAAATGTGTAGATTTACATGATTATGACTACGGACAACAGACTAGCTCTCACCAAACTAACAAAACCAGTCCCTTTATATACTAGTGACCAAACAGTCTCAAAAGTATGGAAACCCATTAGAACAAAATTAAAGTAATATATACAGAAAATAAAACAACCTCTTGACATAGAGCAGTGTTTTTCCTTTATTTCAAAGTAACGGGTTAGAGATCAGTTTTAACAGGCTAGGGGCTGAAGTTTACAAACAAAATCTTTGTTGATTTTACAACAGATTTTTATTTCAAAGCGGCATTTTTGTCAATTGAAGCGGTCAATTTGGCCGGTAGCCGGTTCTTAGGGAAAAGACTGATAGAGCCTCTTTTATTTCATAATTTGTACTCCATATAGATTTTCCCCACAAATAATTTTGCTAAACCCTCTTAAATTTGGTAGGACAATGAGAGAAAATTTCCAGGTTAACCACCTGGCACCAAGACGGATGGCAATGGGAAATAACTCTTGTTTAATATGGGTCTACTGAAAACTATCTATTGTACTTAAATAGTATACAAATGGTTTGAACACAAGTTCTAACAAATTAATTTACGAGGTTCTAATATGCAAACATGTTTGTTTTATATACATATTACATTCTTTTCAACATTTTAAATATACTTTTTGTAGTGTAAGGCTTTTATAATTACTTGAATCTACCAGAATCTCTTGTAAATTTTTGTACAGTTTGAGACTGTATTTATCATATTTATTGATTTCATTTAATATTTTATGATTTATCTCCCCACAGAGTTAGGTGACAATTAATAGTTTAATAATCTGTGTCTCAGGACAAACCCTCATCCATAGCACAATATCATTATAAGGAAAGAACATTGTTTGTCTTTTATCCTGTTGCAGTTTGTGACAATCAATAATAGTTAGCTTAATATATATAAATATAGGTTCAAATAGCAATTACAGTTGAATAAATTTCTAACACAAAATTATGATTTGTTAATTTTCCAAATAATTTTTTTTAAAGCAAGCATATACCGTATATATACAGATTAAGGCTATAAGGGCAAAAAAAGTGAAACTCTGCATATAAATGATTTCATTTATTTGTGGAAAATATATTGCTTCCATCTTCTCTCTCAGTGACCTTGCTAATATTACTTGTACATTGCACATAACTTTTTTTGAATATGTAATAATCTGATATAAATGTACTGACAAAATTTTTTAAATTTGCTTGGTTTATTTTAACAAATATCATATTCTGCTTTTAAGAATTTTATCATTAAATAAAAAGAAAAGTTGTCAGGTAGGTTTAAGAATTTTTCAAGCCATTGTCAATTTCAATATAACTTGGCACACAACAGTATATATATATTGAGATTTCAATGAAGCTGCAGTTTGTGTGTATTTCAGTGTATAACTGTAATGGAATCAACAATTTTGTTTTACCTTTAGTTTACTTATTTCTGTGAAATTACATATTGCATATATAATGGCACACAAGTTAATATTATAAGAAAATGCCATTTTAATTTCCATTTAAAAAATAGAAATTTCTGTGAAATTCTTTCAAAATGCTACTCATTCTACAGTTTTAGTCTGATTTCAATATAACTTGGCACACAAGTAGTACACTGATATTCTGTGTATGATGATTTATGAACGGTGTTGCCGTGGTTAAAAAATATTTCGTTTTTAAGTATACAAGCATTTCAATATAACTTGGCACACAAGAAAAAAAAACAATTCTCTGCCGGGAAGTTTTATTAGAAATTGAATCAAGTTTACAATTTTAGTCTGATTATAATATAAATGTGGCATGCAAGTAGAACTAAGAACATAAAAAAATCAAGGATCATTATTCTATTTATTGCTGTTGAAAAGTTTCAAAACTGCTTAAGTACTTTTCTCTTCCTTTGCTATTACAAACCAGTGAAAGGACTTTGAAGAGTGCATCCATTTTAGGATAGTTTATTTATTTGTTCACTGCTGTTATTAGTGAAACTGTTATAATAGTGTCCACTGTAACATTACAGTACATGTATATTAATCAGCTTGTATGCTGTTTTTAAAATCACTTTTCATGTGACAGTCATAAACCTATTTCTGTATATCATTTTCATTAGTTTTCGTGTTTCAGAACACACGCATTCAAATATGCTTTTTTAAATAATTTATAGTACGTTTATCATCAAGTTATCCCCGTGTTTATTTGGGGAAAAAGGGGGGGGGGGTAAATCATTATATAAAAAATCAGGAAATTGTTGTTTCTAAGATTAATTTAAAAAAAGTAACCTGATTGGGGTAAATGTTTCAACGGGGTTTTCATCAGGATCATCTTATTGAAAAGCTCTCGTTTTCAGTTGCTGTGCCTAAATTAACGATAAGTTCAAAGAAAGTGAACTGTTCCTTAGAATCAGGTAGCTCATCGAAAAACATAATCACATTTATATCCACAAAAAAGACTAAAATCAACTCAATATAATACAGTAAAATTACACTAGATCTAATGCGTTGTTAAAATCAATGGGTCTTTGTGACATCATACAAACACAAAATCAAGAACGATAAGCGAGTAACAAATTTATCAAGTGGAAAGTTTTTTCATTTTTCTGTTAAAAAAAGCAAATTTTTTTTACATAATTTACATTTTGGATATATATCCTGGTGTAATGAACTGTTTCAATATATTTTGTGATTTAAAATATATATAGTTTAATAATCTGTGTCTCAGGACAAGCCCTCATCCATAGCACAATATCATTATAAGGAAAGAACATTCTAACAATCAATCATAGTTAGCTTAATATTTGGTTAAGTAAGACAAAAAAGATCCTCCCAAGCATGTTGATTAAGGCTAGGTAAAAATATCGATATTTCGGTATATTGCAAAACAGTGACAAATAATATTACTTGTACATTGCAATACTTTTTTTTAATACTGATATAAATGTACTGACAAAATGCTTGGACTCGAGAATTTTATCATTAAATAAAAAGAAAAGTTGTCAGGTAGGTTTAAGATTAAGCCATTGTCAATGAGATTAAGCCAAACAGTATATAAAGAGACAGAAGCTGCAGTTTGTGTGTATTTCAGTGTATAACTGTAATTGAATCAACAATTTTACCTTTAGTTTACTTATCGAAGTTACATTCTGCATGTATATGGAAGTTAATATTATAAGAAAATGCCATTTTAATTTCCATTTAAAATATTGCAATACATAGTGCAATACAGCTAAAAATATTACTCAATATGACAACTCGGGCCAATACCAAGCCATAATAGGGATGGTATTGGCAAAAATTTTGTGTTATGAAATATCATGATCCTTCCCTAAAATGGCCCTATATTCTTTATTGGTCAATCCATCAAACTTTTTCATTTTCTTTCTCACTGAAACTACTAGATAAGGTTATCAGAAATGGCTTTACAAGGGAAAGTTGATTTACAGTACCAGTATTTGAATTTGCATTTGGACATTCTATTCAGTGTTTATTTTGTGTGTTTAACTCTCCTGAATCTTCACAAGTGAGCTTTTCTTATCAAAATTAGTTTGTGTATGTCATTGTAAATTTTTTACATTTTCATCTTCTTTTCCAAAATCACTGGGCAAATTTCAGCCAAACTTGGCACAGAACTTCCTTCAGTGAAGGGTCAGACCCTCTTCTAAGGGGAGAAAATCAAGAAATAGTGTAAATTGGATGGGGTTATTTATAAATTTTCTCAAGAATCCCTTGTTCAGAAAAACTAAAACAAGTGAAAACCTGTCAACATAGTCAATGATAGTGTAGATTTGATTTAAGTCAAATAATGACCCCTGGGGATAGGATAGGGTCACAATTGGCAAGAAAGTTTCACATAGAAATGCACAGTCATGTACAGGAAAAGAATCTTTAAAAATCTCAAGAACAGCAAAGCCATGATTAATCATATTAACATGGAAGCATCTTCATGTAGTGTTGGTTCAAGTTTGTTCAGATTATGACCCCTTGGGGAAGGGCATGGTCACAATGGTCAATCAAAGATTTACATAGGTCTGTCTTGAATGAAAAAAATAAAAACTTAAAGAATCTTTCTAAGAACACCATAGCCATGATCAGTAAATTTTGGGACACAACACCGGATCAAAGTTTTACATAGGAATACTTAGAAAATATCTTAAAACACTTCATCTGAAAAACAGCAAAACCATGAATATTTATTTTTATTGATGCAATAGCACCCTATGATATTGTAGACCCTGGATCTGCTCCTTGGAGTCAAGTTGAACCAAAATAGAATACAAAATTTTAACATAGAAATAAATAGGAATAAAATCTTCAGAAGGCGTTGAAAAAGATGATATTTCAGTGAATATGGAAGCCGGCTCAGTTGTGTAGATTCAATTTTGTTAAAATCATAAAGCAGTTTGTTGGGATCAGTTGTATATTTTAATTTAAACTTCTCAATTTCCTAGCCAGTGTACTCAGGTGAGCAACATGGCCCATCGCTTCTTGTTTTTTTTTCTAATGTTATCTTAGACATTAGTTATTTACTAGACAACATGTCATTTAGTGAAATTCAAAACAAAATTCTTCTTACCAATGGTTACACACTATCATGATAGCAACTAATTGATAAAATGTTTTATATACGTGCTTGCACATGTCTTCTTTCCTGCTTTTATAGATTCAATACACATATATGTAGTGTAAAGTTATAAAAGCCTGAAGTGATGAACTCTAATTACCTTGTACTCTTAAAGTTTAAGAAAATGATCTTATTTTTAAGGTAGAGATATTAATTATGCTAAATATGCATGTAAACTTTATTTAGATATTGTGTAACTGTAAGTGGTATATAATTATCAAGCAGGTTTTATTTCTTTGCAGATAAAAACTGGAAGTCCAGTAGAGCTAAAAATGGCTGAACCCAATCATGCCATGATAAGTACAAAGATAGAAAACATTCAACAGGGAAATGAAAATGCACCAAACTTTAGTTTTGTCATAGCGGACAGTACAAATTCTGGGGAAATGAGGTCACAAACTGATAGAAATGTGCCGGATAATCTCTCCCCTCAGTTCCAAAGTGCAGGGAACTACACTTCTAGTGAGAATGCTGAGGGAAGCTTCAGTATGGAACTGGATAACCCCCAGAACAGTGGGTCAGAGAACATGACCCCAGAAATGTTAGGTTCCCCGGAGATACAGATAAACAGCCAGGGGATGACAGTGTCATCTCACGCAGTGGTCAGTGCGGCGTCGGTACATTCACCCAGCAATGAGATGGTGGTACAGCCCATCATACAGGTCACAGGGGTCAATGACGATACACAGGTGAGGAACATTTTCTGATGCTTCTCTTGTTTGAAAGAGTTTTTTCTGTGCACTGGTTCTTAACTTCGTATTGAGTCTGCATTTTGTACCAGTCTAATGGAACAATATTAATTTTCTTGTTAAGAAATCATGTCAATTCCAACTGTTAAATCAGTAATAACATCACAAGCATTTAGGTTCAAATTTACTTAATTCATGGTAATTATGTTACAATAAAATCATTCTTATAATATTTATTGTCACAGTCAAGGTGATGGAGGGTTCAAAATGAGCAGTTTATGTTTTTACAACATAGGCATATAGAAAAACTCTTATAATGAAATGCCAAAGAGGAATGATTTTGCTCAAGATATACTGTAAACCAACTTTTATTTGCGTCATCTTTTATTCAGAATTCGTCAGTTTGAAATCAATCCGTAACATTTAATTTTTCTCATGAAGAAAATTTCTTAACAAATACAAAGCAAAATAAATGGTTTGCAGCGATTATTATTCAGGAGTTAAAGTAGATCACGAAACTTGCTGACATTTCTCTCAAACGCATAAAAGTTGGTTTATAGTAAGCATAATGTATTGTATACATTTAGTTTGAAATTTATTTTAAAGTCATTGTGAATGAAAATCACTGCTATAAGTGTCAATCGCTACTTACTGTATTAAATCAATACCTATATTTTAGGTGTACACAGGAGGAGAAGACCCATCAGCTAACTCCTCCCCCTGTATGATCTGCAATGACAGGGGGTCAGGATATCACTACTCAGTTTTCTCTTGCGAGGGTTGTAAAGGATTCTTTAAGCGTAGCGTCCAGAAGAACTTGGTGTACACTTGTAAAAATGACGGGAACTGCATCATCAACAAATTCACCAGGAACAACTGCCAGTACTGTCGCTTCGTTAAATGTACACAGATGGGCATGAAGAGAGAAGGTTTGTCATGTGGAATTCAAATTTTTGAATTGATTTTACGTGTATTTTGAGACTTTTCCTAAATTTTTAAGTGCTGCTTTGTTACCCTGAGTGTCAAGGTCATTGTCAGTCAAGGCAGGTCAGCCAGAAATAGCCAGAGTACAGTATCAGCTGACTCTTTGCTAAAACAAAGTGTGCAGGAAATGTACAATATACTAAATCACATGCAATGTGAAGGTTTTCTAAACAAGTAAAAAATAATGATACTTATATTGATTTTTTTTTAACTTAATCTTTTGAGAAACTGAAAGTTGTGACAGATTAGTCAAAAAGGCTAACATTTCATAGAAGAGTTGCCCCTCTTTATGTAAAGGCTGGCGTCTTCATGACATTAATGAAATGTACAGAGAACATTTAGTTTTTCAGCAGACAAAAAATGTCATGGAGAGTCAAAAGTCATGGCAGAAATTTATGATATAAGATACCTTGCTATATGGAAACATTGAATCAGATACATTTATGAAAACCAGAGTTTCTTATAATGATTACACAACCATGACTTTGATTGTATATGTCAACAGCTGTGAGGGAGGACAGATCGCCGGGAGGAAAACACAGAAACAAGAAGCCCCGTCTGGATGAAATTCGGGCCATGGTTAACACGGATGGGGAGGTTTTATTTGTGCCGGGGATCCAGGAATCAAAAACCGGGGAAACGTTTGAGGATCCCATCACAGAAGGCCTAATTAATGCCAGACCTGATCTGATACCAAGGGTTGATGGTAAGTAGAAATTTCTAAAAAAGATCCAAATCTTTGCCTTTGATTCATACAAGCACTGATTTGTATGATATCTTTACAGGAAACTCATTCTTGATCAGCAAAATGGAAGACTGTTGGTGACTACATACTAGAAATAACCAGGCTTCTCAAAATTAAGACTGCTTTGTAATTTTTAATACAATGTATTTAGAATTAAAACAAGGTATTATTTCTTTAATAGGAAATATCTGCCTACAGAGCATGGGTATAAATCAGCTAATGCAGTATGGGTATGCTGAATTGAAATACATTATTGACTGGGCAAAGAAAGTTCCTGGTAGGTACTTTTTACTGAATGGTGAAATAAAATGGAAAAAATGCTGTATGTTTCTAAAAATTACACAATGATATTTACATTGTTGACAGTTGCTGCAGGAAAATATTTGTCATTTTTTACATACAGTCAAACTTCGTTCAATATTTCAAATTACATGGGACCAAGATAAATCTTCATAATATCTGTAGTGAGGATTTGTGAAATCAAGGGTAAAATACTAAAGGAATATGTGGTTGGGACTACTGTAAACCAACTTTTATTCGTGTGCTAGAAATTTTCGCAAAGTTCACAAGAGCCTCGTCATCGTGAATATTTCTTGCCGCGAACTGCACCTTAAAGTGTATATGTCTATTAAAAACAGATCTAAAAAGGCTTGATCAGGAAAATTAATCATCGCGAACTAGTTTATCCCTTGTAAAATGGCGAAATACAGTCGTCGTGAATAAAAGTTGGTTTACAGTATCAAATCACTTCAACATACAGTGTATCTATGGTATTTGAGATAACCCTTACCCAAGTTCAATTTTAAATAGATCATGTCAATTAAATATAGTTAATGTTTGTTGACAGGTTTTACGGAGTTACGACTGGAGGATCAGATGGCGTTGTTAAAGTCATCCTTCATGGAGCTGAATGTCCTCAGATTGTCATACAGGTCAGTTTAATGTACAATAGAACCTGGCTACAATAGGTCAACTTTTGACTTTTTGTTAGGGCTTTCCATTCAGATAGGGAAGCCTTTCAATATTTGATGGATCTGTCTGTTGGGCATTCCACAACATTCTAAGTGATGTGATGTCTTAACTTTGATAACTGATGGATCTATCTGCTGTCCAGCCAACAATGATATCTTTAATTTTCTACTTTATTATTTTATATTTAATCAGATACAAATTCCTTTTTTTTTTTTTTTAATTTTATTTTTTTAAACACAATTCATTTCATACAGAGTATGCATTAGTTATTGTTACATAATTGTGTATTTTTACTTAGAGAGAGAGAGAGGAAAGAGAGAGAGAGAGAGAGATAGGGGGAGGGAGGGGGAGCGGGAAGAGAGTGAGAGTAGAGAGAGCTAGAAGAAGAGTTGGTTCCACCTGTTCCACTGAGTATCAAATTTTTCTTTTTCATCATTTTTATATGATATATATTTTTGTGTTTGGTAAAATTGATTTAAGTGTGATATTGCAGAGTGCACATTTAGAGGTTTTTCGGTACATCTAGAAGTATAAATATAATATTTTAGCCATAAAACTATAATATTCGCTATTTCATTATTTTTTCCTTTAATGCCTAAAATAAAATTCTTTTTGGTTATGGGCAACTGGAGATTTCTCTGTTGAAGATGATATTCAAAGTTTTCAAGGAATAGTTGTACAAAATCACATTCCCATAGGATATGTTCAATTGTCTCTACTTCTCTTTGACAAAAATTACACTGCTTAGAATCTACCTTTCTGATTTTGAATAAAAATGAATTAGTTGCCAATATTTTATTTAGAATTCTGTACTGAAACCACTGGAGTTTACAGTTTTTTGTAATTTTAAAAGGTAATTTATGGATTATTTTGGATTCCTTGTTATCTAATTCAAATAATTCAATCCATTTCTTAAATCCAGCTGACACAGAAGAGTTTTGATTTAATATTTCATAGAATTTTTTTGATTTTTTACATTTTGATACCAGATAACAATTAGATGTAATAAGAGGATTTTCTGATTTTTGTAAATTTTTCTCAAAATTACTCCTCTTTATCCAAGCTTTAACTGCATGGATTAAACTAGAATATTCTAAAAAATTAATCTTTACATCTGGATAAATATTGCAAAAACATTCATAGCTATAAAAGGTACCATCTACTCCAATGATATCATTGATATATCTAATATTATTGTCAAAAAGTTTTTTACTATAAAAGGTTTTCCCTCCAATATGGATATTAGGGTTATAAACAATGGACAGTCCACATTTACATCAGAATTACTACAAATTTTATACAAATCAATCCAGAACTTGAACACATCAATCCAGAATTTATTTTTTAAGTTTTTTATAAGTTGAGTGATGTATTCAATTCCACAGGATGTAAATTTATACATGTTCATATTCTTTATGAAATTTTCCCACCCTTTATTAGTATAAACCAGATGTCTAATCCAAAATAATTTCAATGAAGTAATGAAAGAATATAAATTTATCATTTTCAGTCCTCCATCTTCGTAGCTTTTAACAATGACATCTTTCTTAACTCTATGTGTTGAGTTATTCCATAAGAATGAGAAAAAAAGTTTTTCCAATTCTTTACAATAAACATTAGATGGATTTGGGATCGACATAAGTAAATGATTTAATATTGGTAAAGCCAAAGTCTTTATAACAGTAATTTTTCCTATTGGTGTTAAAAACCTTTTTCCCCATTGACTAAGAATGGATTTTATTTGTACTAGCTTTGGTTGGTAATTTATTTCAGGCACTTTTTCCAAGTCAACATCAAAATTTATTCCTAACAAAGTAAATCTAGTTGTTCCCCAATTAAGCTGGTAATTTGGGATTAAAACCTCATCACTGTATTTTTTTGATCCAATCCAGACAGTGTGTGTTTTTGAGTAATTAATACATAGTCCAGACATATTCGAAAAAGTGTTCAAGGTATTCAGTGTTTCTAAAAGAGACTCCTCACTTCCGTCAAGAATAAGGGAAGTATCATCCGCCAGTTGAGATATCTTTTTTTCTACATTTCCAATGGTGATACCTTTTATTTTTTTATTTTTCCTAATTTGTATAGCTAAAATCTCAGCGCATATCAGAAAAATATATGGAGACAAAGGGTCTCCTTGTCTGCATCCCCTTTGAATTTTAATTACATCAGAAAAGTTACCTCCTTGATTAACTGTAGCTTTAATGTCAGTGTAGAAAAGAGTGACCCATTTTCTAATGGAAGGGCCAAAATTAAAAAAGTGCAAAGTTTTTTGTATGAAGTTCCAGGAAAGAGAATCAAAAGCTTTTTCAAAATCGATTAATAATAAAAGTCCTGGAATATCTTCTTCTTCTGTAAAGTGCATTACATCATATATCAATCTTATGTTTTCTCCAATATATCTGTTGGAGATAAAACCAGTTTGGTCAGGGTTGATTATTTTATCTAAATATTTCTTAAATCTGTTTGCAATGGAGCCAGATGCTATTTTGTATACAGTGTTTAGCAATGTAATAGGACGCCAGTTTTTAATGAAATGTCTTGGCTTGTCGCCCTTAGGTAATAAAGTTATAACTCCATGTCTTTGCGTAATAGACATAATATCATTCCTGTAACCATAGTTTATAGATCTTACAACAAAATGCCCAATATATTTCCAAAACATTTTAAAAAACTCTGTAGAAAAACCATCTGATCCTGGAGATTTGTTAGCCTTCATATTATAAAGAGTATTCGAGGCTTCTAACAAGGTTATTTCACCCTCTAAATTGTTTGATTCTTCACAAGAAAGTTTGGGAGCATCAGTATTATTTAACTCATTATCTAGATTTAAGTCTGTATTTTCTTCTTTAATGGTGTATAGATTTTCATAGAAGGATTTAATTTCTTTCAAAATATGTGACTGATCATGAATAATCTTGCCATTATCTATTTCTAATTTTGGTATAATTTTACTTGTAAAATTTCTAGACTCCAGTTTGCAAAAGTAACTAGTGGGCTTTTCCCCCTCCTCAATCCATCTTGCTCTACTTCTTATGTAATTACCTTGTAACTTGTGCTTTCTAATTTTTTCTAATTCTTGTTTTTTATCATTTAGTTCTTCCAAATTACTTTCAGAAATATTTTCTTCCATACATTTAATGTCCTCGATCAATAATTTTTCCTCATTTTCTCTCTTCTTTTTGACATATGCTGAATAAGATATAGTTTTACCCCTTATTTCTAATAGTAAGGTTTCCAAAAATAGTTGATCATTGATAGTGAAGCATATATTTTCATCTGGCACTGTATGGAGGTTGTCATAGTTGTATACCGAGATTGCATATTGTTTTTTGACTTGTAAAATAACATCTTTAATACAGTTCAAGTAATTTTCATCATAAAGCAATGAATTATTAAATTTCCACAAACCGCGACCTCTCTTAAAGTCATTAAATATCAGCGAAAGAGAAATAATAGAGTGATCTGATCTGTAACTGGGTTCTATAGTACATGTATCTAATCCTGATAAAAGTGAATCTGACAGTAGGAAGAAGTCAAGCCTACTTTGCTTAAATGGAGACTTTTTTCTCCATGAATATCTACGAAGTGTTTCATGAAGTTGCCTAAACGGATCTACATAGCAATTAACCTCTATTATTTCTAAAAGTTTGTTCCTTGCATTTGGATTATTAATTTTTTTGTAATTATAATAATCTAACTCTGGATTCAGAACCAAATTAAAATCTCCACACCAGATAATGTTACTACACTGCAAATCTTCTATATGATTCTGTATATTTTCAAAAAAATCGGGTTTATCAGTATTGGAGCATAAATATTACATATCAATACCTCATGGTTCTCTATATTTGTTTTAAGTATAAGATAATTTCCATCTGCATCTCCTTTTTCTGAGATTACTTTGATATCGGTATTAACATTGATCAAAATAGCAACCCCTCTTGAATTAGTGGTATATGAGCTAAAAAAACATTGGTATCCCCACAAATTTCGAATATCATTTTCCATTTCCGATGAGAAATGAGTGTCTTGCAAACAATATATATTACACTTTAAAGACTTGAGGTAATTAAAAACATCTCTGCGCTTTGCAATATCACCAAGACCTTGACAATTGACTGAAATTATTTTAACCATAGGGTATTTGTATAGAAATAGACATATATGTAAATAAATGACACCCAAAGGGATTTCGGAACCTAGCAGCATAACAAAGAAAAGAGGAGAGAGAGGAAGAAGAAGAGAAAGGATGGAATAACACAAACATATATATGACAAATGAAAATAGAGTAACTGTGTACAAGTAAAAGTTTACTTTCAAAAGTCAAGTGGCTTGAGTAGCATCATTTGGCATTTTTTCTTTATACGGTCAAAATCGGAAGTAGGAAGGGCGTAATAAAAGCGGAGCCCATAGCGGTTAGTCCTTAGAATTCCGGTTTTTTAATTTGTAATCGATATCGTCCAGAATGTCGAATTTCATTCGTTTTTCACCCACACTTGCATACACGAAGCCATTGAAGTACCAAGCTGATTTAATCTCCGTGTATTCCATTAGTTTTGCAATGAGTTCGCTGTTTTCCTTTGTCACGTCATCTCCTAACCTCACATTGCCCTCCGACTCTTTGACTTTTGACCTTTTTCGCATAACTTTAGCTTTTTTGTCTGCATTTTTAAATTTTATTAGGATAGGTCTTGGGGCCTTTGGTTTTCCGGGTATGCGATGAATCGCAATAATGTCATTATCATCTATATCTACATCTCCCTTTGATTTCAGTATTTCTTTTGCAACCTGCAAAGTATCTTCACCTTTTTGTTCTTGCACCCCGAATATTTTCACATTGTTTTTGCGACTATATTGTTCGTTGTAGTTCGCCTTGACTGTTGCAAAAGAGGCAAGTTCTTCTGCTTGTTGGACTCTGGTTTCTAGGTCACGAGTTTTTTTGTTGTTTTCGCATATTTTTTCTCGGAGTGTTTCATTATCAAGTGTCAGTTTGTCCACGCTTTCGGTCAGCTTTTCAATTTTTTGCTTATAAAATAGATCTTTCTTTTCAGTTTCTTAAACTCCTCGAAAAATTCTTTCACAATGCTTGTAATTAGCAGTTTAATATCGTCTGTTTTTATCGTGCTTTTGAGCTGATCTTTAATCTCTTGTAGATCTTTTTTAATAAGACCCCATTCTTCGCCCGATTGAGTTTCCTGGGGTTGCCCAGCGTTTTCTTGCATTTTTTCGATGCTATCACTTTTATCCCCAGTGTTTTTTACTTGCCTTTTTGGTGGCATTACACTACAGTTTTTTAACGCAGTATATCAAGAACCGGTTCACAATAACAATGAAGAGTACTCACGATTGTTGAGACGTAAATATTTCAATCCACAGAAAAAAGTCCTGCCCGAGCTTGTAACACATTAAATTTTCATTAGTAATATTAAGGTGATTCTGCTGACCTATTTCATGTAAAAATTTCAGAAGTATATGCAATTAATAAGTCATTAAATTGCCAAAAACTGCCCTCACCGAGCTACCGTGTCATCACACCTCGAGCGCCATCTTTGCGATACAAATTCCTGTTGGCAAGACACACAAAGTTGTGACTCATTTGGAAAAACACAGTCTTACTTAATTTTATTTCATATAAAAATTTTCTCCAATGAGTAGTGGATATTTTTTATCAGATTAAATTAGCAATAACAGAAGACAATCAGATGAAATTATAGTTGAATATAATTTCACATATTTCTTTATTATATACCCTGCAAACAAAGTTGGGGGGGGGGTATATAGAAATCACCTTGGTCCTCTGTCTGTCCATCTGTCTGTGCAAACATGTCCGGTCCATATTTTTCTTATGCAGGAACATTAGAATCTACCACTTCACACAAAGATTGCTCATGACTGAATGTTGTGTCATGACCTTGACCCTAGGTCATTCAGGCAAGTTCAAGGTCTGAAAGAAAATTTTCATAATTTGTGTCCAGTCCATATCTTTCTCATGTATAAACTTAGTGAGTTCCCATTTTACACAAAGATTGCTTATGACCTAAGAATGTGTCATAACCTTAACCCAAGGCATTTATGCAAGTTCAAGGTCACAAAGAAAAATTTCATAATTCCATATCTTCTTTATGCAAAAACTTTAATCTAATACTTCACGCAAAGATTGTTTATGACCTGACGGTGTGTCATGACCTTGACCCAGTCATATGTGTAAGTACAAGGTCACTAAATGAAAAAATGCATAATTTGTGTCTCATACAAAGATTGCTTATGACCTGAGGGTTTGACATGACCTTGGCCTGAGGTCATTTGTGCAAGTCAAGGTGTCACTGAAAGAAAGGTTCATAATTCATGTTTGGTCCATATCATTAGTACATGTACCAAGGGTATTGATGTCTTATTAGGCTACGCCTTAGTTTCATTTATTAAAAAAGTATACAATGAACAATCATGACAATTGCCAGTAAATTTTCACTCTAAATGTTTCAACAAATTGTGAACACCAATACTTACAGGGTTAGTGACTTGGCACCTTCTCTGAAAAAACCTAACAGGGGTATTTGTTCATTTTGGACAGTTCTAGTTTGAAAACAGATTCTGTTTGCAGGGTTTTTTCCCCCATCTTATTTTTGCCCTTTCACACCTACAAAATGAAAACAATTTTTGTCCCATGGCAAAAATCCAAGGCATACTTGTTCAATTTCATGTTTTACCAAAAACTATGTGAATTGAGGAATGTAGTACACACAAAAATATGACTTATATAAGAGTAGACACCAGCATTTAAACATATTAACACCTTTAGTACTCTTAGAACCATCCATTTCCAAGCTGTTAATACTATTATTATGTGTTTATTTGTATTATTATACATAAAAGAGAACATTTTGGAACACCTTACGTGTAATGTTCTTGTATTTAATTAAGTACATTGTACAGTGTATTATCAAAGCAAAATAAATTTTAAATTAAATTTACATGTTTAAGGCTGCAATGCAAACATTTAAAGGTACAGTTAAATATATTTAAAGTTAAAAAAGAATGAAAAGATTTCAGTGCAACCAGATATTATAAGCAAGAATGTAACTAACAGAAAGTTTTTGGTGTGGATGATTTACTCTCTATAATGTTTCTCTTCTAAAATTTGCAATGACATAAAGTGTATTTGTTCATCAAACTGTACATTAGTTTCAATCTGATTCAAATAAGATTTTTTAAATGAGATTGTACATGTATTAATTTAAAGAATGGGTGCCCTTTTGCTCTTTAGGATGTCATTTGGAACCTCTGGAGAACTAAAAAATTTTCAATCATATAAAAATCAAGAAAATTTTTACCAAACTTTATATATTGATACATCTTGGTGCATGTTGTTGAACAGCATCAGCAAGTTTTTATTTTGACCTACCTTTTGACCTTGTCCTCATTTTTCTCACATTTGCATTTATCCTAGTTTATAAAGAAACAATTCCAAATATTTTCTATCCAAACATGTATACTGATGTCTTTTGGGGAGAACTTTTCTAGTTCTTTTTTTTTACCTCGATCCTGTGTCCTTTGACCCTCCCTTCCCTGTGACACTTGACCTCGCTATTCCTCATTTACCCCTAAACGAAGAAGCAAAGTGCATGTTTCTTTTGATGTTGCATTACCAAGCCTGGGCATTCATATGCTATAAACATATTTATTGTTTTTATTTAATGTCTCTTTTCAATTGCTCTGAAAATTTTCAGGTCGATGGATACAGGTAGCTGTATAAAATTTGCTGAAGGATTGAAGGTCCCTATAGAGCTGGCTCAGAAGATGGGGTGGGGGAAGGAGTTGGTAGCCGCTACGGTGGAGTTCTCAGCCAGGCTGAAGGAGCTAAATATTGACAAAGTAGAGTTCTGTATCCTGAATGGCATTGTGCTAACATATCCAGGTATGTTTGCTTTTAGGGAAAATGTTACATAGATACAACACAATTAACATAATGTTATCCATCGTTGCAAACCACGGCCAATATGTATGATCCTCTTCCATTCTGGCCGTGGTTGAACGAGAAGAGAATATTTCATAGTTCATTAAAATATTGACCAATGCGAGTAAAGCATAGTCAGAAAATGAACTTTGATGCGACCTAAAATATACTGAGAGGAAAAAAAAACACAGGGTAAACTTTTGAGGTGAATTAAATTTGTTTTTATTTTTTATTTTTTCAATATTCCTATCTAACTTTTGAAATCATCTTTAAAGAAAATGTAACCAAAATTCTTTTTCATTTTGTCTTATAATTCGTGAGTTATTGAAACTCATATGGCAATACCGCCCAAAAGTGAAAATCGAAAACTTCTATCATCTTTAATGTCTCCCCCGTGCATCTGTCACAGCCTTGAATCTCCTTTGCATGGAATTCATCAGAGTGATTATCTTTCAAAGCCTGGCTATACTGGGCATGGGTAACCACGCCGAAAAATTAGTCAGACGACCCTCGCATGCGCCAATGAGAGTAACACAACATAAAGTTGACCGGCTCAAAAACCCAAATTGCGCAATTGGTTTCTTTCAGTTTTGGGGTGAATATAATGATAATGATAGTCTACTGTATTAATAGCGGTTTCTGTGGTAGTGACGCTGCAATTTAACAGATGGCAGGACGAACAACCCGATCTTAACGTGACTCTGTTTTGCGTCAATGTCATCATCACGTTTGGATGAAAATCATTTCAGGCCCTCTATGACAACAGGTAACACGTTCTTTCGATCTTAACGTGACTCTGTTTTGCGTCAATGTCATCGTCACGTTTGGATGAAAATCATTTCAGGCCCTCTATGACAACAGGTAACACGTTCTTTCGGGTGAAATTTACAAGAAACTTTTCAGTAACCTGTCTTTGTCTTTACTTAAGCATTTCTAAAACCAGACCCCATGGAACTTCCGTAAACTGTACCAAGATTGAAAGAAATTAATATCGTCTGTAAATACTGAAAAGCAGTGTGTATACCTAAGGTGCATCAAGTGGTACAACAAAATTTGTCGACAAACTCATCGTCATCAATTTGCTTGTGTTTCAGGCTTTTTAGCATTTTCCCTACGTGACATCATGCATTTTAGGGTTGAGTAATTCTGAACACTGATTTTGGTGCATGGTAACTAACATTCTCATCTGACCTATTTTCGTAATACATGTACTAGTATTCGGTCTTGCGGTCAAAAAAATTTCGAATATTATGCTACCCAGCGTTTCTTTTTCCATTCAGTATACTGTAAACGTATTACATTTGGCTGTGTATTCCTTTTAGCGATTTTGGCGGAAGGGAACTTCCGCTAATTCAAGTACAACGCTAAGTGTCTTGCACATATATACATAAATAAGAACATTGAGAAATGCGCTAAATCAAATCTACTCTTACTTGTTCAAAAATCAATTTCCGCCAAATATCATACACATTAAATATAATACATTTACAGTATATCTTAAGCTAAGTTTCAGAACATATATCACTTTTGAATTAAAATTTTGCAGATGCTCAGAATTTGATGGACAAACAGAAAGTGATCCTGCTACAGACTCAGATATTGGACAGATTACGTAAATATCACACCCACAAGTTCCCGGGTAACGTAAAGAGATACGGCAAAATGCTGCTCCGATTACCATTCCTACGTACCGTCAGCGCTAAAGCAGCAGAAAGGTTTCTATCACTGACTTTGGATGGTACTCTGCAGCTAAATGAGCTGGTGCTAGAAATGATCAACTGATATATTGACCGTGTTGTGTATCAAAGCTTCACTATTTCTGTGCTGTTACAACGAAGCTGGATTTCTTGTGTTCATATTGTGTATTTGCATGGATTTTTTTTTTCACTTGTTGATTTTATTGAAATTCACTGAAAATCATTTTTATCTCTGCAAAATTAAAACTTGGCCATTGGTACATATATTTATTTCCACGTATACCTCCTAAATACATGCTATAACATGAAGATATGTTTTTTTTGTTATGTACCAGGTACATGACTGTATAAATGTCTCTTATTGACACAGGTTCGCTTTTCAAGTCATAAAATGAATTGATTTAAGTGACATGGAACACATTAAGTGGGAATAATCCATTAATTGATTGTGATTTGTGATACCCAAATGTTCCTCCCAGATATAATTTTTGAAAAGTTAACTTTCTTGTTATAATCATGCTTTCATTTCAAGTGTCTTGCATTAAGCTTGTAGCCTTAGTAGTGTTAGTGGTATACACAGTGCCTGTGCTGTGTGGAGTGATCTCGTTAATGCAGTTCATGCAGTCAACTATTGATGGGATTTTGCATAAATAGGGAAAAAAAACCAATTTTGAATTATACCAGCAGACATTTGTATATTTGATTTAAAAAAAAAAAACAGTTTCTGTTTGGAAATATTAGGAAGTACACTTCAGTATATTATGAGTTCCATAAATCTATATGTGTATTGTGATTTGTTTTACTGAAAAGATCTTGATTAGTGTGTAAAAATATTAACTTGAGAGGGCAGTTTTGTTTTTAGAACACTTATGGCATCATTATGTCTATGAATTTATCGATATGCCATGTGCTAAAAACATTTTTAAAATTAATGAATTTAGACATTCTTTGAAATGTTTGTTAAATTAAGACTGAGGCATCAATACATTTTATTCACATTAATCAAGTCTTTTTTTTTTAAATAGCAAAGTCATATTCTGAATTTTTTTTTCTTTTTGCATTTTGGAATAATTTTATCTCCTGTAAATTCTTCTTTAATTATTTTTATTATATATCATTAAGGAAGATTTTCAAGCACCTTAAAATTCCTAGGTTGATTGCCTATGAATCTTATAATGTATGTCACAGTGTGAGTGGATCAAATTTTTTTTGTAAGAAAAGCGTTTCACATTCCTGATTTAAAATTAAATTTTGTTTATTTTCATAGTGGATGCATATCTCATAAATTTTGCCTTTAATGTCTAAAAATCAGGTTGTGTGTAAGTGTTACGTTTGTTGAAAAAGGTTGAACTTTGGTATCTCGAGTATCTCAGTATCATGGATATATGGAAGTGAGTTGGGAGTCCCAATCACATTTAACCTCTGTATTTGAAATCCTTAGATATCTCTAAGTTTGTTACTGACCAGATGTCTTTTAGGTAGCAAAGTTGGACTGTATATATATTGATATAAACTAGAATGCAGACTGGTCCATGTCCTCATCTGTCATTATATATTTAATGTATGCTAGTGAATACTGTAATTAGTATTCCAGTTCTACACAAAGAGTCTATGTGTGTGGATCGTCTTATTCTTCTATATTCCAAACCTTACTACTGTTATCAGTTCTGACAGATTAGAACATATAATATATTTATATTTTTGTACAAATTAATGTGTCAGATTTTATTGGAATTGTTTTTGAGGCTGCATTTATTTTGAATAACTATATATTTAAAATTTTGTGGTAGGTAAAGAAGCAAAGATTTGAATATATATAGGATAAATATATCACTGTTTTATTTGATGTCCAATTCTTTGTCATTTACATGTTGATTTTTTTTGCAATGATCAATTAACATGAATTCAATATGCAGTTGTGTGCAATTTACATTAGAATTAATAGTATACTTTAAATACCTACCTTTTATTTATGAAATGAAAGAGTACAGTTGGAAAATTAAGTTTCATTTATAGCATATGAAACACATTTTTATATTCTAGAACTAAAAAAGACACAACTTTACAAAAGATCTGCAATATTAAAGTCATTATACAAATAACTAGTGTAGTTCATCAGAGTTTCGACAATATACTGGTATGTCAAAACTGTTGTCAAGTAAAGATATAAAAAATATTTTCATTTCTTTTTTTTTTTCCTCTGTGATAATTCTTTGAAAGTTAAGGGAGTTGATTTCTTGAAGGGAAAGCGAAGGGTCAGGAGCTAAGGAGGCCTAATATACAGTAAAACTCGGTTATAGCGAAGTCCTGGGGACCTGTGAATTTAATTCGCTATATCCGTAATTCGTTTTATCCGTATAATGACTTCGTATAACCATTTTAGAGAATTCGCAATATGCATGTTTTCCTTCGGGTATTACTATCAAATATGTTAGGGAGGCAAATATTACAAAACATACCTTCGATAACTAAGGTTTTATTATGAATTGAATTTGATATAAAAATGATAAAAGGAAATAAAGTCAGTTCAATTTATCAATTTTTTTAATAATCTTTCAAAGTTCGTTATAAAAGATGTAAATTTCATTATATTTAACCTCAACGGGACTCAAAATCAGTTCGCTATATCCGTAAATTCGTTATATCCAAGTTCGTTATAACCGTAAAATTTTACAAAAAATTGTTAAGGATTTTGCCGGGGACCCAAGAGAAACTTCGCTATATCCGTGAATTCGCTATATCCGTGTTCGTACTAAACGAGTTTTACTGTACATGTAGATCTTGTGTGTCCATCTTTGTTTTTGGCGTTAGTGGGCAGGAACTATTGAAATTGACATGGAAAGCATCATGTTTTAGTCTAAGACAACATTTTAAAAATCTGTTTATGCCATTTTAATTCACAATTAAATGTAATTATAAGGAATCACTGTCCAGTTTGTTGGGTATGCCAGGGACATTGACAGTTGGAAACATATGGAATAATTTATGCATAACGGGCTTGGACTTTGAAAAATTCAAATTATTTGCATTTTTTGTTTATTCTCTATGCAGAGGTTAGACATACTGAATTGAAGTTTGGTACACAGATTTCTCATGAGAATATCTTGGTCAAGTTCTCATTTTGGTAAGATCAAGCAATTTTTGACAGAGTTATGCCTCTTGTACTTGAAAAAGTCCAATTATTTGTAGTTTTCGTTCATTTCTTCACATGTTTCACAAACATCTCTTATAAAACCCCGCAAGGATTTGCGTGTGAAATTTTTAATCACTCTGTCTGTTTAAATTAATTTTATACAATATACAAATTTTCTGTTTTTCCAATAACTTTTTATGGTTGCCCAATTAAGATCAAATTTGGTATGGTAGTTCAATAGGCAAAAAGACATATTTTGATGCTAAGTTTGTTTCTCTATGTCCCCTGGTTTGGGGCTGGGGTGGTGGGGTAGATTCCTTAACATTATATAAGAATGCATTGGCAAAGAGAGATAACTGCTGAAAATGTTCCCATTGTAAACTGGAATGCTGCTATGAGTCCCTTGGGATTAATTAGCATTCCTACTGAAGAAAATCCAAAGCATTATCTTTATCTGTCACATTGAGATTACCGGTAATTACCACCTCTGTCTGCAATTGAAGTTTGTTATGAAGTTAAATCAATTTGGAATGCTATGAACACTCTGAAATGTGGATTTAAATATAAATGTTTATACTTTATTTTTGTTAAAATACCCTACACAATGAGTTATGATTTCAAAAAATTGAAGGCAATTTCCATAATATACAAGAAATAATTTCAGAAGATATATTTTTTATTTCTACTTTTTCCCCTTTATGTAAATTCAAGAATATTATTAATTTAAGGTAGTTGGATAAAACCCCCATTCTATCATTAATACTGAAAAAGGTCTTATTGTAACTTTAGAAGAAAATGATGAGAGAGGTACAATTAACCCCTTGGCATTAATTATCTAGCCTGCTGTAGAAAATTTAGTAGGCTTTTCTTTATCTGTCACTTTAAGATTAATGAAAACCTTTGTCTGCAACTGCTGTTTTGTTATGAAGTTAAGGTCAAGCCTTCATGATATTTGCATTCATTGAAGGCTGGCATTTTATATAACACAAGCTTCATTATTGTTTAAATATACATTCAATGTTAAGTTGTTCTAAATACAAGGATATTATTTACAGGTTTTTGGATATGCAGGAATTATCCCCCCCCCCTGAAATTTTAAGAAAAAAGTTGCTGTTGCTTATTCTTCATATATTTTTTTCATTCCCTTTATTGCATTTCAAGACATTTGTCTTTGGTTTGCCCTTCCTCTTTTTAAATAAAAAAATTCCCTACTGTAATAATAAAGAGTAGGGAAATTTGTTATTTATAAAAAGAGAAAGGTTAAAAACGTCGAGCACCTGTGGCTGGAATTCCTACGAATTCTACCCCATGGCGGGGCCCTTGCTGACTGGTCAGTTTTCTAGTTGATGTTTATTTACAATAGTGTGTAAAGATTAAATATACAGAACTTAGATTGCAACCCTTATGTAAGAGGATTTAGTACTCTGGTGTGGGTGTGTCAGGTTATTATTTGGATGATCCAATATCTTCTTGATTGAAATGCATGGGAAAAGATTGAAGACATAAAGAGCTAGCACACTTTAAATATTATGAAAAAAAAGAAATTGTTATAAAAAAAAAAAGAGAGATAATAAAGTGCATATGATTTATTTATCACTTGATAACTTTCTCTCATCAAAAGTTAATAACTACTCATTAACACATTACTAGAGATATCGTAAAAATTAAGTCTTATCAGAATGTTTTTTCACTTCTGATTGGCCATGCTATGAAAGTTTTCCATTTTTGTAATACAAAACACCACTTAATATTTGCTAAAAATACTACTCTACTATGACTGATGTCACAATTTATACAAAAAGAGTCAATTTTTATCACAGACTTGTATCCACCCAACTTCTGGTGCATACATATAATTTATAAAACAAATGTAAGTGATGAGGAAAAAATAAACATTTTGTATTATGCTACCTACACAACAATTGTTAATATTTTGTTGGAATGTACCATATACAAGTATCTTTTATCACAGCTCAGGCTAAAAGTACTCCTCAAAAAGAACTAAAGTTTAGAAGTTTTTAAAACTTCAAGTTTAAATTAATATCATACATTATTATGCTTCCTGTCAGTTTGTCTCTATATAACCCATACCCTACTATTTCAGTCATAGTGTTCCAAGGATTTATATAGCGTAAGCATAAAATGCCGAAATTAGTGCATGGCATCCATTTTTGAGGAATTAATTGTACAACGCCCATATTTCCGGGGAATAAATTATTTTTTATTCAATTGACATAAAAGATAAGTCCACATTTTCAAAACTATTAGGCAAAGACGCCGTTATCTATAGTACTGTACTATAATATATATAAACTTACCGGTAGTTTCAAATATTTTACACTTACAATTAAAAATAAACAAAATAATTCTTCTAAAATGATTAAAATATATACATTTCCCCTCTCCTTCACTGAAATACTATTTACCGAAAACTATCTGTAGATTTTTACGTACAAGCATTATTAAATGACTGTTTGGGGCAAAATCAATTAAAAATGATTATAAAAAATGTACATGTTGCACAAGGTGATATTTAATAGACAAATGTAATAGGTGATGAAAACATTGGGAATGAAGAAAATATTGCCATTTTTATACAGTAACTACACTCAGCATATTAATAACAATAGTGTTGTGTTTTGCATGTACTATGCCTAAATAGCAGTCAGGGTTTGACACATATTATACAACTCTATTATATAAATATAACATACATTTCTGCATCTTTCTAAAAGCTCTTTGTAATATACATATGTGATTTCATCACCTCAAATAAAGAAATATTTCTAAAGCTTGCAATATAATACCGGTATCTAAAAAAAAATTAAATTGCACTGAACTAGTTCAAAACCATAGAGAAAACTGTGTGGAGAATGTATTGTAAAGTATTAAAATGGAGTTATGTTATTCCTGATTTATACACTCAGAAAGCACATTCTTCCATCACCTTGGAACAACTTTCGTGTTTTGTACAGAATATACACTACCGGGTATTAGAAACCAAAATCATAAAATTGAAGGCAATTTCTTTGGAATATACAATGACTAATAATTTCACAAGCCTGAAAGTATGCGTACAGAATAATGTGAGCAATGTGTATTTTTATATAATAAATTCACAACAAATTTAGGACTTGGGGGAAATATAGGGTGATAACATATTCCTCCCAAAATTATACTGAATTAAAATCTTCACATGAAGGGAGACAACTTCTCTAAATACTGGTAAATTAATAATATTAGAAAACTGGATTACAAAGTCAACCAATAAAAATACACTACTGAAAAAGAAAATATTGCAATAAGAAATACATATAATGTCTTAATGTATACAAAGATAACAAGGGTAAAAAAAATACTTTAAAAAAAAGTCTATGAAATGAACATATATTATAAAAGTGACAACAAAGGAATGATTTAGAATTGATTGTCTTGTTAGTGTTAATCTTCTGTTAGAATTGTTTTATTTTATTGGTATAAATCTGTCATTATATAAATAATCTCTCTGTTTTTTGTGCTGTCAGTGATAATCTCCCTGGTTTAACTCTTGATTTTGAGGATGATTCCTGCCAGAGCCAGCAGACCAAAGCTCCAGGCTGTGTTAACTAGGTATCCCCTCCATACCGGCATGTCCAACAGCGTCCAACCTGGGGAGAGTACAAATTATTATTGATAAACTCCATAAACCTTCAAAACAGGCATAATGTTCTGATAAATGATTTCATTAAATGTTCTTTGTTAGTAAAAGAAGTTTTTAACAAATAATTTTCCAGTGTTTTGTTCAAATTTCAATATCTATTCCTTGTTCAAAACATGAACATCAATATTTATCATCTGAAAATTGTCAAACTTGTAAGGAATATTTAAACATTTATTTTAACATAAAAAAGTGTTCTATCTAACCTCAAAGTATCTTCTAAATGAAATACAACTGTATGTTCCAACAACCAGAAAAGTGTTCCAACTAACATTAATAAGGTGTTCCAACTATCATTAAAGTGTTCCAATGAATAGAAACAAGTTCCAATGAAATATGTGGAGATAATGAACAGTATTCCACCTCAAAAGTCCATTAAACAATACGAAACAGGAGCAGAGCAAACACGGACCTCCGAAACATTAGAGGTGGAATGAGGAACCTAACTAGCCAATAAACAAATGTTCCACCTAATGAAGTATAAATGTATTTGAACTAACAAAACAGTCTTCCACCCTAAACACACACAAAAAATATCCAACTAAAATAAAAATACTCCAAAGAGTAAAACTATTTAAAGAAACATAAAGCTGAGCAAAATTACATAAAAAGAGTTATACACATTACAAACAGAAAGATATTCAAACTTTAAAAAAAGTATTCCAATTAACAGAAAAGTGTCCCAACTGACATAAAACTATCCAACTAACAGAAAAGTGTCTCACCATGGGTAATTTATAACATAAATTTAATTTTAGGTGTGTTGGTATGACAGAATGATATATATTAAGAAAGATACATATTTGCTTTAATTTTAGCAGTGAGGAACAGAAAATAATTACCTCTACTTAAAATACATCTCATTGCTTCTGCAGCATAGGTCTGAGGAAGACATATACTGATATATCTTAGCCATTCAGGAATAGCTTCAATGGGCCATATGATCCCTGCAAATAAAAAGAAAGATTCAGATTTTTGAAAATAAATTCCATTCATTTATTTTTCTCCAAAACTAGTCAGAGGTAAGGAAACACATGTCATCAAATTCTATTACATGTTTTTTACTATAAGTGGGAGATTCGTCATATAAAAACATTTCATTTGATTATAGTTACCACCATCTCATTATCAAGTCTTATAAAAAATGAATCCTATTATCATGTGCTTATAATTAAAGGTGCAAAATAATATGAAAAAGGTATAAACAATTATTTTTCAATATTCCATAACACCCGAAGGGCGTTATAATAATTTGATCACATACCGATTTTTCATAATCCAATGAAACTCAAAAAAAGTGATATTTTATTTCTTATATCTATATTTTACATTTTTATTCATATTACAAAGAAATATAGGCATTATTTAGGCTTTGATTTCTTAATGCAACGTAAAGTATCTACGACATCATGTGACGTCATAGTCAGAACTTTCCAAATTGCTCGTGCAGTTTGCTTTCCATACGCAAGAATGTCTGATCATGTGACCAACTGCATGTCATTGAAAATTGAATTTCAATTTAATTAGCATTGTTATATAAGGAAAGACATCAGCAAATGTAAGTATAATAATATGAAAAAGGTATAAACAATTATTTTTCAATATTCTGAAAGAGTACAAAATACTGATTTTTAGGTGCATGGTTTCATTGCAATAGCTGGCTCATAGAGCAATAACAGACTCATACAGCAATAGCTGACTCAAAGAGCAATAGCTGGTTCATAAGGCAATAGCTGGTTCATAGAGCAATAGCTGACTCCTAGAGCAATAGCTGGTTCAGAAGGTGATAGCTGGCTCCTTGAGCAAAAGCTGGCTTTTTTTGTGATGTTTAATACTTCTTTGCCGTCAAATCTGTCAACTCAGTGTAACAAGTAAAATTATAGTAGGTTATATCCACCGAATTCTACTTACCACTTAGAAGTAACATGGGATACACAGAACCCAGAGCCAATTGTATTGCTGACGACTCGTTCTCACAGACAGCTGAGAAAATTACACCTGTAAAATCAACAACTAACAATTAGAATCAAAGTATGAGCAAAATTCTTTATTATTCATGCACTCTCCAGACAGATTATTATTGTATGAAAATTTTAATGAAAAAAAATACATTTTCATCTTTTAAACAGCTGCTCTTAAGATGGCCTAAATATCATCATAAATTGAAGGCAACATAGCACTGACCTAAGGTCATTCCACAAAATCCTTGACCCATGACCAGTAAAATGACCCAAATCAGGGGGCCCTTGTAAGGAACCTGCAAGGAATTGATCACTTCATTAAAATCAGCTAGCTAGATTCTTCATAAAGTAAATCATTTACAACAAATCTGCATAATATTATATGTTTTTGCCTATCAGAAAAGTAAAAAAGAAAAAATACATTCAATAATGGAAGTTAACCTCAAAAACTGCCAGAGCAAACACCATGACCAGGGCCACCTGCACAACGAGAACAAACAGCTGGGTAAAGACGTGGGCTAGCAGAATCTCGAAGGCAGACATTCCGGCTGTCAAACTCCGATCTAACAGACCCTCCTTCTTCTCAATCACAAACGCTAAAGTTGTAAGTCCAGTGGCCATGAAAAAAGTTATACTGAAACAAAGGTCAATTGATTAATTTCTGACTAAAATTTCAAAACAATGATTTAAATTAAATGAGAGCAAAATTTAAATTCTGACACCTTGACTTTAAAATTGCCCAGGTGTAGACCTGAAGCTATGGTATGGCATACATCCTCATGTGTCTGTTAAAATAACAATTACCTGTTACAGCTTATCATAAAATATTTGTCCACATATATACATTGTTGGATTTGTTGCAGTGTGCATTTAACCTTTTGCAAGAATAACTGGTTTGGGGCAAAATTCACCATTTGCAATGAAATAAAATTTAGAACTTCAAATTGAATAAGTGAACATAAAATTAGATTAGTACAAATCACATTTAACAAAATGTTTAAATGTATTTTTTAGAAATAATAAACTTTTGGTGTTTTCAATAAAAATATAACATTTTCTGTATTTTTTTAAACCTAAATAAAATAACCAAAACTATATCGTATCAAAAGGTATACGGTAAAAGGATGACTACAGCTTTATACCTGAGTATTATTCCAGGTGCTATAAAGTTTCTGAAGTTGGGATCCTTGCTACCATAAATAGGATCATTTATCTGCAATTAAATGGAGTACGGTATAGACTTGATTTTATCATTCTTAATTTTCATTAATTTTGGCATGAGATTGATCTGACAAGAAAATAACATAATAATATGAGTAGAAGACAAGATCACTCATGGGTATCTGACAATGATAGTTTTGTAAATGTAAAATTTAGGTTGCATGGGATCAATTGAAGCTAAATATGCAACATCTTGTATCATGGAAATTGTTCCAAATTCCAAGACTTTTGCCTGTGATTCGAATAGTTATCCCATGAGACATGATTTTACAAATTTGTTTTTTTTTTTTTAATTACATGTACCTTGATAGGAAGCTGTCCTAGATTGGGATTCAGACTGAATGATTGTAGTAATACTTCAGAAAAGGCTTGGAATGAACTGGTAATAGACTGTTCTATCTCTAATGTTATCTGCTGGTCTGAAAGGATCCAATCTCTTTTTAACTTACTTGCGTTTACAGTGTTTATGAGCATGTACAGTATATCATCCTGGTGGGATTTGTTTTAAACACTAATAATCTTGATCTATAATCAGCTATATACAATCAGAAATATGATAAATAGCATTCTATAATTTTTCAATAGACTCTACTGACTGAGACAAACTTACTGGTGGTATCTAGATACAGCTGTATACTGCTCCCCTCAATCGTTTTGTTGTCCACACCAGATATATTGGTAAATCTACAATGTACTTGGCAGTTCTAGAAATGTTTACATTATACACATACATGTACATCTATATAATTAAGGAATCACTGTCTAGATTGATGGGTAAGACCGCATAAATTATTCCACATTTCAGGCCAGCAGAAAGCTAGGCTAGCTGCTATGATTTTGAACACAGCTGAGATTTGAAAGAAATAAAAGTTTAATGATACATGTAAATCATTAAAAAACAGAATCAATTTTCACTTAATTCCTCTAAAGATTTCCAATCAAAGAATTCATAGAACATATGTAGCCTTTTTTTTATCTGTAAAGATTACATAAAAGAAAAGGAGTTGAGACTTAGTGGGAATTACAATATACTGTTTTCCTTACAAGTAAGTTTGCCTGTAGATACACACCTTGTGAGTAAGTCCTGAGTGAAGTTCTCCCCTATACCAATCACCCCCCATGTTTCTCCTCTCCTCACAGAATCTAGAGCTGCATTCATGTCTTTGTACATCACCTTCGTATAATTTAACGAAACTGTTGACAGTTTTTATATTTTTGCAGTATGATAACAAAATAAGTTATTCTTCAGTCATTTCTTTAAAGCATCCAAAAAAAAAAACCTGCAAGTCAACCCATACATACAGTTTTTACCTTACTAATTGTTTCATTGTCCAGTTCCCAGATAAACACTTGTCCAAGTCCTTGTGTTTCGTTGTTAACAACAGCCATTTTTAATCCATATGGAGGGCTTCCAATACAGAGACAAAACAGAATGATCTGAATAGAAGGCAGAATGAACTGGAACAAAAGAAACCTGAAACAGAAAGTGATGATCATTAAAGGACCAATGCATTATTAAAGTTCTCGTAAATCTACTTTCTTGAACTTTTTGCAAGTTAATGGAGGCAAAAGAGGCAGGTTTCCCCTACCACTTTCTAAAAGGAATATGATATTCAAACTCCTTTTAGCAGTATGATCTACCTGACATTTTTACCAGCTTCTTTATGAACCAGACAAAAAGTGTGGGTGGAGTACCATGAGAAAAGGTAAAGGTGGAGTACCCAGACAAAAGGTCAAGGTGGAGTACCTCGACAAAAGGTGTAGGTGGTGAACCCAGACAAAAGGTGTAGGTGGTGAACCCAGACATAAGGTGTAGGTGGACTATCCAGACAAAAGGTGTAGGTGGAGTAACTAGACAAAAGGTGTAGGTGGAGCACCAAGATAAAAGGTGAAGGTGGAGTACCCAGACAAAAAGTGATGGTGTAGAACCCAGACAAAAGGTTTAGGTGGAGTAACTAGACAAAAGGTTTAGGCAAAGTAACAAGACAAAAGGTTTAATTGGAGTAACAGGACAGAATTTGAAGGTGGAGTATATGCAAACAAAAGGTGTAAGTGGAGTACCCAGACAAAAGGTGTAGGTAAAGTACCAAGACAAAAGGTGAGGGTGGAGTGCCCATACAAAAGGTGTAGGAGGAATACTAAACAAAAGGTTTAGGTGGAGTACCCACACAAAAAGTGATGGTGGAGAACCCAGACAAAAGATGTAGGTGGAGAACCCAGACAAAGATGTAGGTGGAGTACCCAGACAATAGGTGTAGGTGGAGTACCCAGACAAAAGGTTTAGGTGGAGTAACAAGACAAAAGGTTTAGTTGGAGTAACAGGACAGAAATTGAAGGTGGAGTATATGCAAACAAAAGGTGTAAGTGGAGTACCCAGACAAAAGGTATAGGTGGAGTACCCAGAAGTACCCAGACAAAAGGTATAGGTGGAGTACCCAGAAAAAGGGTGTAAGTGGAGTACCCAGACAAAAGGTATAGGTGGAGTACCCAGACAAAAGGTATAGGTGGAGCACCCAGACAAAGGGTGTAAGTGGAGTACCCAGACAAAAGGTGAAGGTGGAGTACCCAGACAAAAGGTATAGGTGGAGCACCCAGACAAAGGGTGTAAGTGGAGTACCCAGACAAAGGGTGTAAGTGGAGTACCCAGACAAAAGGTGAAGGTGGAGTACCCAGACAAAAGGTGTAGGTGGAGTACCAAGACAAAAAGTGTAGGTGGAGTACCCAGACAAAAGGTGTAGGTGGAGTACCAAGACAAAAAGTGTAGGTGGAGTACCAAGACAAAAGGTGTAGGTGGAGTACCAAGACAAAAAGTGTAGGTGGAGTACCAAGACAAAAGGTGCAGGTGGAGTACCAAGACAAAAAGTGTAGGTGGAGTACCAAGACAAAAAGTGTAGGTGGAGTACCCAGACAAAAGGTGTAGGTGGAGTACCAAGACAAAAAGTGTAGGTTGATAAGAAATTGAACTATTCAATCAATTTTTCTCAGCAGATTGATTGTGAGATGAATTATTTGATTAGAAATCATTAAAATAAAATTATCACCAAGTATATTGAATCCTACCCTATATTTCTCTTCATAAATATGATATTCTTCAGGAACTGGGTAAATATATTTCTAGGTGATGGTAACCCTACTGGGCAGTGCCATTCATCTGTAACCTGTACCAGGGCATCTGAAAAAAAGAAGAATCCATTCTACAAAACTACAAAATGTTTACACAATTTTAAATTACCCTGTAACTTTGATATGGCAAAGTTGTCTCAAAGTGACGATAAAACCTACAAATTCTTTCTAGTTTGTACAAATTAAGGCTAAAGATTATTTTTAATTAGTTATATATCAAATATTTCTAAAAACCAAAATTCTGGGTGTCATGCAGGAGTAGTGGAGTAGTTTCCCCTGCCACCTCATGTCCAGTGTTTACCATTTTCATAACTGGCTTACTTGGTTGGTAACTCTGTAAAAAAATGAATAATAAATGACATGAAAGTTAGTATCTACATTTGGGCATACATGTAAAAATCAAGCAGCTGACACTTTATTTAATTTACCAAATACAAACATGTTATTTTATCAAATAGGAAGTTTGAGAAATTTTTTGCCATACCTCCTTGACAAGATTCATACTGAGAGTGTTTTGATCTGCATGACACAATTTCAGGAATATTGTTTCCAAACTCTAAAAAAAATTAAAATTGATATTAACGCAGGAAAATAAAAATACATTTGAGAATTAACGAGTGGTTCAACACAATATGTCTGATCAGTCCAACATCTCAAAAACTCATCCAACATCATATTTTTTAATCGCTCAGCAAAAACATTGGGTCACTAATTCTAAACAGCAGCGGTAGAAAGGTATATGGATTCATAAAAGTAATATGCCTATAAAGTATTAAAGAGAAATTAAGATTTTTTTCTTTCATTAGATTTAAATAGTTTTTTAGTCCCACCCTCAAGACCCATGGTTTAGCATTATGAAGTTCAAAGTTTCTTTTCTCTTTTACACCAAGATGATTTTTACCAAATTAGGTGAAATTATGGAATCCGGATAGGGCCATGTAATTTACTATCACATCATCGCACCATCATTGTTTAGGTTGATAGTGCGATGACGCGATGACGATGATAAAGCGATGGTGCGATAACAATGATGTGATGGTGCGACAGGCGATACGATGATGTGATGGCTCGACAATGTGATGAAGATGATGCGATAGCACAATGAATAGATAGTGTGATGACGGGACAGTGCGATAGCGATGACACCATGGTGTGATGACAATGGCGCAATGGTACGATGACGATGAAGTGATATCCATTATCACTTCATCATGCTATTGCACCACCGTTATTGTATTGTCCCACCATCGCTTCATCGTTATCGTGCCATCACATTATCGAGCCATCAACCTTTAAGTGGATGCTCGATGGTGCGATAGTGAACTGCATGGCCCTATCCGGATTCCATATGAAATACTAACTGTGCACAATGCCTGTTGGGTCAAAACAGAATGCATTATGTCCCCTGAGTGACTCAGGTACCTTAAATGCAACAATGTAAGAAATTCTCTTAAGACAAACAAAACACATATCTAATTATATATACTTACATCTTCTTTGTAAAGATTGATTAAAGTATTAGGTGAATCTTCAGCAAGAAGTTTTCCATTCCTCATCAAACCAACCTAAAAGGCAAGACCAGAGTAAAATATGCAGTACAAAACATGGACTTGTTTCTCAAAATACTGTGGATTTTGTTAGTCCAAAGAGGCAAGTTACACCATTATTTAGACTGATCTAAACTGTATTCCAACAAAGAGACGTAAGTCTGGACCTAATGTCCAAAAGGGACTTGATTCTCTCTGCTGAATACTAAGCAAGCAATGTTTGTTTGGTCTTAAAATGCACTCTTAGCCACTCTAAACCACTAGTAAATACTTATTTCAATAGTAGTTGTTATATAGTGGTTGCAACAAAGCATCCACAGATCAAATTTTATTTTGCTTACAATACTATGCACTTCAAAAAATTTGGTTAACATTACCTTGAACATTACAGTCCCATTAACTGACCTTGTCTGCTTGCCTTGCCTCCTCTATGTAGTGTGTGGTTATTATGATGGCTGTCTTGGAATTGAATTGTCTTGTTATATTCAGTAAATGTCCCCATATTCTGCAATTATTTATTAAATACATACATGTATAAGCATTTTGATGCAAGAAGTATTTACTGACAGATATAATGCTTCAGTTAATAGAATACTCATACCTATTGGTCATTGTTAGTTCTCTCTCTCACACTATGTTTCTCTTGTTGATTTTTGTCTATTCCCATGTTACCCCCCCCCCCCCCTTTCTCCCTGGACTGACTTACTTTTCTCTGAGTATTGGATCCACCCCTACTGTAGGTTCGTCCAGAATCAGTAACTCTGGCTCCTGCAGTAAAGCAACAGCTAAAGACACCCGTCTCCTCTGTCCACCACTAATAATTAACAAATCTTGCAGTTACTGCCCTTGTTTTATTGTCACATGATTCTGTGGGTTACATGTAAATTTCATAAGGAGTACAAGCAAAGGAAGTGCTTCAAATTAAGCTTATAAATGACCTCAGATTATCACTGTGTGTGTGTGGAATGCAAAGCTTTAGACATCTTCCCAGATATTTAACGGAGGTGCTGATTAAATATAGAGCTATGGTACAATGATCATTCTACATATAGGAAAGATGCAAATTTTAAACACAATTTTAAGCACATAACCTGTTTTTCAACTAGCATGCATAAATAGATATTTTTATACAACAAAAGAAATAAAACATACCCTGTTCAGTCTATTGAATGAAATTAAATAGCATAATAGTAAACAAGATTAAAACTCTAATATGTATTTAATTTCCTTTTCCCTCATCATTTATTTAGAAACTGTCCCCTTACATCAAATATAGGAAGCTAAAATTGTTACTATTTATAAGCTTCACCTTAAATTTTCAATGAGTCTGTTTGCTTCTGGTAAAGTCAGGAACTGGAGGAGGAATTCCGTTCTACTGTCTCTGTCCTCTCTTGACATCCTGTGAATTCTTCCAAAGTAGGACAAGGTCTCCCCGATTGTCATTTTGTAAAATAAGGCTATTTCCTTAAAAATATAATTGTCAATAAATAGCAGGTTCAAAGTGGGGTCAAGGAGTCAAGGTCAAAAATAATCAAAGGGATGAATCCACAAAGTGCCATTCTGTTTTGTCATCATAAATATACAGCTGTAAGAGCTGTCATTAGAACATTTAAAAAAAAATTCTCAAATAGTCAATCCACTCTATTGTTCATAAGTATCTTTTCTGGTATAACATTTCAATACCTGTAAACCATAATGGTAAAAACTGACAGTCATGTATGCACTTCATTGTTTAACTCTAAAGATATTTAAAGATGTTGAACTTTAGACCTGTACTTGGACATGTGCAGGATACATTCATTCAAAGTTGGGTAACTTTAAGACATAAATACTAGATAGACAGGTACATGCACTTAACAAGGAAATTATTCAACACACCTATCTCATACTGATACAATATAGGTCACAGCAACAGCTGATTTATATATTCCTAGATAAAAACTTGTTCAATGTTGAACATATGGGGATGTTGAAATAGATCTTCAAATTAATTTTTCCTTTCCTAAACTCATACTCATCTGCAAAATTTTAATCTGATGCAATATCCGTATGTTAATATCAATGTAAAAAAACTTGTTCAATGTTCAACATATGGTTACTTTGAAATAGATTTTTGCAATTTTTCCTGTCCTAAATTGATACTTATCTGCATAATTTTAATCCGATGCTATATGTTAATATCTTATATGTATATCTATGTCTTGTTCAATGTTGAACATATGGTTACTTTGAAATAAATCTATTATTTTTCCTTTCCTGAATTTATACTCATCTGCAAAATTTTAATCTGATGCAATATGTTAAGCATCTCTTTTCTTGGCAATAAATACTGGTAATATTGATATCAATTGCTATATAAGTAGATAAAAACACCATTCACATGATGTATACCAAAAAAAACCCCATGCTAATCACAAATTTTGCTTATAATTAATTTTTGAAAAGGGATTTTTGTTGATGTAGTCTAGAAGCAGTAGATGTTACTGTCCATTCAACAGATGTCAAATACATGTATAGCAACTGAGTGATGTCATATGAAAACATTGCGATGCATGCATAAGAATACTTTGACAATTTTTATGCTTTCATTCTTCATATGAAATACTGTCAGATGAAATTACCAAGATCTAGCTATCTCTCTCTCCTCTCACAAAATGCAATGTTTGATAGAGAAAAGATCTAAAGAACATATTTTTCTGTACTGAACATAAACTTGAATCCTGATCCAAAAGAAATCAATGAACACTTAATGCAATTTTTTTCTCAAACTTTATGAAACATCTTCTTTTTTGTTTGCTTTTGGTATGTGAATATATCTATAAACAAAAGGGAAAAAAATACAGTGTTATATTAAAAAAAATTTCTCACTTGAGGCATGTACCCCACTAGATGTCCTGGGACCCCATGTCCTCTGGCACCTGGTCTGTTGCCAAGAACGATGACATTTCCAGAATCAACCTGTAGTCTTCCCACAATGCATCTCAGCAGAGTTGTCTTCCCACAACCACTTGGACCAAGAAGTCCATATCTAAATCCAAATGAACACTAATGTTACTTCTAAGGCCAAAAAAAATATATATAAATTTACATTACCATATAAAAAAAAATAGGGTAGGTAGGTGAACACATTTTATTTTATTTTTTTTATTTTATTTTTTTCCGACGGCATTTTTTGGATATGAATGTACATGATCAAATTAACATATCACAAGTGTTCAATATATAATCTTTTACAATTAAATTTCATATCTTGATGCACAACAACTCAAGTGGTATTTTAGTAATATACAACACTGTGTAAAAAATCTTTTAGTTTTCTCAGAATTTTTTTTTTTCAGTTATGGAACATGAAGGTATTTGTAAAGTAGATAATCAAACAATCATTCCTTTAAAAACTCAGCAAAGGACCATATGTGTTACAGAAACCATGAAATTTTTTTTACACTGTATTTGATTTCTGAGCAGGTTAATTTTATCGCTATATATATAAAATGTAAAAAAAAAAAAAAAAAAACAAAGAATGATGAATCTGTTACATGTACATTTGTAATTTAAGTGAAATATTTTAGTGAACAGGAACTAAATCAAAAACAAATGCTTGTTTTTGCCTTTTCCAAGACCTTCTATACTGTTGGTAAAGATTATTATTCTTTTTTTTCTTCTGTCAAAACAGCAACTTTGAGGCCTCATATCTGCTATTTCTCAGAAAATTTTCAGACGTTATAGACGTTAATAAACTCTATCAGAATAATGTCTAAAATTTCAAAAAGCCACTTCCGGTTTTGAATTTCCCTTTAAAAAAATTTATAGGCTTTCGTTTCAGAACTTTAGTAAAGCTGACAAGGAAATTCTACTGATTTTAGATAATAGAAGAATTGAAGTTGTGCACATCGGTTTTTGTTTTTCGATTTCTGTATTCAAAATGGCGCTATATAGGGGTCAAAAATTAAAACGCTTAAAAGAACCAAAAATTACATATTTTTCTTTTTATCTTTAAACTAAAAATATTTTGATAAAATATATAGAACATAATTTGTGTTCATATTAGAAGATCTTTTAAATGATATGTCAGAATAAAGGGTTGAAAATTCAAAGGGATATAACAGGGGCAAATTTTTTCCAATCTTTTATTGAGAATTTGTTAATCAAACAAAGTTGTCAAAATATCAAGGTTTATCTAATGCTCTCAAAATACGTTTTTGTGAATATGGTTACCTTAAGTAAAAAATGCATATTTTTGCCGTTTTTGACAGGTTTTTGGGTAACATGTCTCACTAGAAGCTTAAATATTAATTTTCCTTCCATTGTCGTCACTTCCGGTCAAACCGGAAGTACCAAAGAATGGCTTAATTTTGCTATACTTAACATAGATTTGGAGGATTAACATTTTTGGACTTCATTACTCTTGTTTTTTTGAAAGTTACTTCCGGTCAAAAGACACACTTTTTTTCGCAACGAGCTCGGCTCTAGAAATTTCCTAGAAAACAATATATTTTGCGAATTAATTTTTTTTGAAATTCCATGCAATGGGTATTTTACTGATATTAGTCCCACCTTTCATTTAATATATGTATGTATTTATTTCTTAAAATTAGTTTAAGTAAGTTAAAATTGCAAGTTGTAAAAGTAATTATCCAGAAGTTAGACATGTATTTATGGTGATAATTACGTTTTAAGATTAACTAGACTAATTATGTTTTCCTTTACTTGCAATATTTTTCCTGGTCTTAGTGTAACCCCATATTTAATCATGGCGGTAAAAGTATCTACAATCACGAGATCCTTCATGTTTTCAACATTCATCACAAAACTTGGATTTGGTAAAAAATTAAAGTATGACAATTTTATTTTTTGTTAGCGATGTCGGCGACATTTATATAATCGATGAGTAGCATCGAAGAAAAACTGACAATCGAAACATCTCCAAAAAAGGTTTCTATATTGCAATATTATATTTTGTATTGCAATATATAAAAAAAAATTTTTAATAAATTTTGCTTTTCATCAAAAAAAAACAAAAACTCAATTTTTTTTCTCGAGTTGATATTACAACTGCCCCGTTGTGTGTACGCTAGTGGCAAGCTTGTGGCACAACTTTAAAAAAAAATGTAATATTCAGATTCTGCTTTAACAGAGAGGGCTTTCAGAGAGAGTCGTCTTTTCGTTTCTGATAGACATGTCTCTGGTTTCCGATCAAACTTCACGTTGCTTGCCGCCATATTTTACCTTGAAAGGGGCAAATAACTATTTTTGTAACAATTTATAGGATATCGAACCCGAACCGGTATTCACAAAATAATACCGCGATACGTATTTAAGAACAAAATCGCATGATTAACCGGTTAATACAATCGATCACTAGCAAAGATATCATTTAAAGTGGTAGTACTTTGTTATTACGCTTGTTTTTGTGTCCTTGTAGCGACACCGTTCCAAAATAACAGAGAGCACATGAGGGTGGCCTCTTCCCAATGGCCGCCGCCATTTTGTTTTGTATTTCTAACAGGGGAACTGAAAATGGTGACAGAACGACAAAATCCGGAAATATTTCGATTGTTTTTCCGAATCGAAAAAAAAAACTTTAGGGTCGGCCCCCAAAAATAGGGTCGGTCGGGTAGCAGGAAACAAGACTATTTTTTTTTTTGGCCTAATACCCTGTATATATAAATTTACATTAGATATAAGAATAAGTGGGATAGAAGAACACATTTATAGATGCTTACTAAATTACATAAATGTAGTAAAACTTGTACAATTCATCTGACTGATTTCTATGGAATGTATGGTGTCTGGATAAAACAATTTTTTTTTGGTATTTGCACAGTATTTGGCTATATATATAGTATGTCATAAGAACACAGTAATGACTTGCATTGTTCCTCGTGCCACAGTCATGTCAAGATCCCGTAGGACTTCCAGCTTGTTTTTGCCTTTTCCATAGCTCTTATACAGGTGCCTTGTCAAAACAGCAATGTCCCCCATATCTGCTATAGAAAATTGACATGATTAATGACAGATTTAAGTGAGAATGTTTCCTGTATAAAACCCTAAAATTAGGTAAGACTATTTCAGAACTTTAGTACATGACAAGGAATAAAAAAGGAAAATAACGGTGCATATGTCAAAATGATTTTCCGTACATTCTTTAATTCATACTGCAGTTTTATGTTCATATTCTTTTTTACAACAGAATAGGGTGAAATTCAAAGTATGTTGGGGGTATAACAGCAAATTTTAATCTTTTTATTAACAATTTAAACAAACATAATATCATTTAAATTTGTATGCTCTTGTTTTTGTGAATATGGTTACCTTAAAAATGAGACCTTCTTTTCAGGACTGGGTTAGGTCTAGACAGTTAGATTAAAGTAGGGCCTTTACAAACGATTGTCATTATACATATTGAACATATATGGTTTATTTGTGTGCTTGTTCGAAAAGACACACTTTTTTTCTAGAAGAAATCCACTAATTTTGCGATTACATTTGTTTTGAACATTCAGAAGATTGACGAGTCGAAGTCCGAGTTGATAAACTTGCTAAAGTTGGTTGCCACACACTCCCACATCAAACCGGAAGTAAAGCAATGTCTGTAATAAGTAGAGTTAAACCGAAAGCGTAAATTTTCCGGAAGTGTACTTCAATTTGGTGACGTCACAATCAGAGCACTTGCATAAACAAACAAACAAAAATTGAAAACAAACACTTGACCTTTCTTTAAACTAACAGACATCAAAATATATGAGGAAGAAAAAAAACATCACAAACACCTCCAAAAAAGGTTTCTTTACAAAATAATATTATTAATAATAAAAAAAATAAATACGAACAGGAAAAAAATAACAAAATCAATTTTTTTTAATGATAAGGAACCCCCCCCCCCCACCAAAAAAAAAAAAGAAAAAAAGAAGAGAGAGGGAGAGAGAGCGAGTTAAAGCATTGAAGAAGAGGGAATTTGGCCAAAACACCCGAATAGGAAATTTATTACCCTTGTGTAGATAGATTCTTCCTGAGGATTAAAATTACCGGCTATTTAGTACATTGCATGATTATTAATTATCCTGTGTTATTCCGTCAGAATTTTTTTTTCTGTTTTCTCCTCTCCCTTTGGAAGGGTGGTTCAAATATTGATTATGCATTTCTAAGGGATGGTTTGAATATGATTATTATCAGTAACACCCCTCCCCCTGTTCATGAGAAGAAATATTTTAAAAGATAATTCCCTATATACATCTGTGTATAATGTATATACCCTATCCATTTATGTAATCACCCATCCCTCCTTTGTGAACATGCTATCTACACTATCCACTGGGCCTTGATTTGAAGCAATCGGCACTGGACGTAGTAAGCAGTTGGACCTTTTGGGAAGGAAGAGAGAGAGAGGGGGGGGTCATCAGGTACATGTACTATAGTAGTGAAGGGTTTTTCAGGCTTTAGTGTAATGCTTTTATTTTATAAATTAAGGTAGTCCGATCCTTAGGTTTATGAAATTAGCAGTTACCTAATCAAAACTACTCATAAAAGTATCTCTTAATCCACAAACTTACGTAAATTTATCCACAGTATTTCTTTAAAGTTAAAGATTAAAGTTAATCATCTTATATTGGGAAAATTATCAAATCTCCAACATTTTTGTAGAAAAGGCGAATTGGAATATCAGCAATGCATTTTCTAATTGCAAATTGATCAACAAATATATTTTAGGTTAAAAAACGATAGGTTCCAGGCATGAGAAATGTCATGATTTTCAAATTTTTTGCCTTATATTTCCGTCGTGTATTACATAATACGTAGTGAAGAAGGCTATTGCTATCATTGCAAGACATCACTTCTTATTTAATATCATGCTAATAAACATTGGTATCTAAGGCTGGATTCAAGAAAATCTTAGTTCTCTTAAACTGTTTTTTTATAGGGTACAAATGTCAATTTTTATAAGACCTTTTCTAAGACTTCCAAAAACCCTGAATCTTATAAAGATGAATAATATGAAAATTGTTGCATGAAAAAAAAATCATTTCAAATAAAATATTAATTTTTGGAGTTTTCCTTCCTGGCTGAGGATCGGATATCCTTAAGAGAGCTATTTGCAGAGCATATCTTCATGTTCCGAGAGAAGACTTCATTTAATGTTATAGATCTTCCTTTTTATTTTAATCAATAATCTATATCATTTTTTAGTCTGTACTTCTTCATCATCTTTGTAAATCAAGCAAAAGTAACTTTGAATTGAAGAAGAGCCTTTGGATCATGCAGACGTGTTTTTAGACATTCGTTTTCAGACGTTTGTTTGAGGAAAGATAATCTTTTCTGACAGGTATAATTATGCAGTTGTGGACTCTTTATTTTCAACTTGAACAGGAAGTAAGTGATGTTAGGAATAAGATTACTCCTTAATTTCGTAATTTGCATTAACTTCGCACTAAACAACCCTAGCACCGAGTACGCTTTAATGTGCAGCTCTATGCAGCAACGTGATTTTTGTATTGTCTCGTACTTTTGGAGGTCGTTGACTCGTATCGAGCTAGAAACTTACGTGAATAAAGACATTAATTTAATTCACATGAAAAATCGTTGTTTTTTTAAATTATCCCAATGCTCTAGGAACGGGGCATGATAGAGAGAAAGTTGGGTACATTTACTCCATCTACCACAGTAGCTTAAAATTCCTTCTGGCCTGAGTAAATATTCAGAAACAGGTACAAAAGCAATACTGACTGAATTGGTCAGGGTACTGAAAATTTCCAGTATACATATGTATAGAGTGAAAAAGTACAGATGATGTCAAACTATGAATTATATTTTGCAGTATGTTATGCTCTAAAATCATCTCTGGTAAGGGTTGGTATGAAATATTCCAAAAATTGTTTTGCCCTATTTCCTTTAATTACTAAACTAAGAAAAAATATATCTTCTTGGGGTCAAATTTTCAACGTTTGTTCGTGGTTAGAGAAGTGTTTGTTACATGTATGCACATAATATTTCGTAGTGGACATAAGATCATTGGTCTCTTCAATGTACCTCGACATGATTTTTGATAATTTACCCTCCAAACAAGAGGTTGTGGTCTCGCAACAGTTTCCTTTCATTTAAATAAACCATGCAGTTATATAAAAGACTTTTAGAAGATGTTCAAGTTTTTATTGTTTGTCATGGAATTTAGTTCATAAATGGGACAAGATTTTTTTCTTCACGTGTGCGTTCTTCCATTGTGACAATCATTAACTATCTGTATTTTGAAATTCAATCTAACAATATGAACGATAACAAAATATTTAGCTGGAAGAATGTTTGAATTATGTATTTTTTTTATGTTTTTTTTTTAAATTATGAAACAACTGATATACAGGTAACATGATAGAGAGAAAAGTAAATCTATAGTTGTAATCTGCTTTACACTTTGAAAATAACAAATGAAAATTGCACGCGCGAAAAGAATATCAAGTTACTACGCATTCAATATTTAACGGATATAACACAGTTACAATATCTCTGTGTTGATAACATTTACTCATTTGTCACAATGTGACATCCTGACCCATCTACGCTAGCCAAGGGTTTGTGATATGCTACTCTCCTCAACTTCGCTAGCCAAGGGTTTTTGATACACTACTCTCCCCATCTTCGCTAGCCAAGGATTTCTGATACGCTACTCTCCTCATCTACGCTAGCCAATGGTTTCTGATACGCTACTCTCCTCATCTACGCTAACCAAGGATTTCTGATACGCTACTCTCCTCATCTACGCTAGCCAAAAGTAGACAGACAGACTGACAGACGAATGAGAATCAGTGTCCCCTCGACTTCTATCCCTAAACAAATTAGTGATTTACGTCACTTCCGTTCCGCTCAGGACACAACAAACCCACAATCAAACACACGCATATATATGATTACGTGACTATATATTCCCCCAAACTCTGTTGAATAAGTTTTGAGTATTACAAGTATTTATATGCTCTCTTGAATTTCAATTTATCGCTATATTTGTACTTCCGACTATCCGAAAGAGTTTGATATATTCTAACCCCAGTATACGGTACATTTTACCATTGTAGATATTACTTTCTACAGAGAAAATAGTTTGATCAGGCCTTGAAATGTTTTTAACATTACAAAGAAGTGACCAGGTCACGAGGACCCGGCTTGTACGAGCTGTTTGGCATGGCATCAATGTCCACAATCTAGAAGTGTTTACGATCGCCATACTTAAACTTACAGTTCACCGATATCTGATAAACCGATTATTTGTGTAAATCTCCTATATGCTTTTTAATTGAATTGGACCTTTGGAAAAACTCTTTTCCAAAACAAAAACAGATCTTGGGACCAATGCACGGATTGCACCCCAGTGAACATGAATAGAGGAAATAGAAAGTAAATATTTTTTAAGTCGAGCATCGGATGATTTTCTAAATGATGAACTGTGAACTCACTGCACCGTGGCGACCCTCGGTATATTTATGTGTGGTTAAATATCTCAACATCGCTGGAACAAACACAGTATTGACATCGTATGATGTTAAGTGCATCAAGGGGAAACCCGTACTCTAAAATGGGATGTATAATCCTTTTAAAAATGCTTAATTTTCTAAATAGAAGTAGACAGCACACATTTCACATGTTAGATATGTTGTACTTGCAGTTTCCTTATTTTTATGAGTTTGAAGGATGGCTTTTTAAGTCTAATAAAGTGCTTTCAAACACTCGTTTAATACAGTTTCTCTTTTCAAGGACGGGGAAATATTGTTCATGTTTCATAACGTCCAGATACATCACACAGTGACTGGTTGATAATTTAGTTGCAAGTGCCTTTATAAAGTTTATCATTAATTTTACACAAGTTAAATCACTATTAAGGCGAACTGCCGGTGATAAAATGAGTTTATCAGCAACTGATACATTGTATATATTTAGTAAATGTCATAAAAGCCTAACATAACTCTACGCCAAAGACACTGTTGCTGAAGATACTAAGTTCAGAGTGAACCAGTGCCGAGAATTGTTACTAATAAAACAAAAGACAATGTGTCTGATGAAAAGATTACATGTGTATTATTTCTTTATTATTACTGACTTCTCTCTAATTTCATCTGTGTATCATTCAGCACACCTCAAGTGGCGGATTCGTACCTCATCTAAATCATCTGTGATCTGCAACAAAATCATCCGAGGTTTACCGACTCATCTTCCGAGGAAAGGAACTACTTTTTTAGATACATGTATTCTCTCTGGAGCAGTGGACAGGCTTGACCTTTACATTCTGTCAACTTCTATTACGAGAATACCACTCTCTACCATCGGCTCATACATTCGTGTCTGAGAGAGGAACGAACGACAACTCTGCTTGGGAGATTGTACTTTTCCATGTAAATATCTGTACAATGATTGGGACAAGATGTCAATATGGTGACCTTTATGTACCTTTACATGTGTTACACCGCGGATCAAGTCAGTAACAGTTTCCCTATTAATGAACAGATGCCAATTGGTCAGTGCTTAGTGGTCAGCACACAGAGGTGAAATATTATAGGAACAGCTGATATAAATCTAATATCTACTCTACTCAAAATTCTTCAAACGAATATTTATGGAAAATATTAATTCGATTGAAATTATTTTCCTCTTTCATAGTGGAAGTCTTTGGAAAGACATCGCGGAAAATCAAGCATTTGGAAACATATGTTGCCAAGTTCTGTTCGTAGTTTGTA